GAAAATGCTAAGGTTAACTTAGCTTGCTAGCAGGCTTAACTGAACGAGGTTAGTACCAAAACAACAACACTGCTAATGTTAGCTTGGCCTAACGTTTCGTGCTTTTCTTACCTGTGGTTGGGCAGTCAGAGAAAACATTTTTAATCCTCACTGTTACAAAACGGCCGTCAAGCTACGCAAGTTATACCACTGTCCCTGTGAGTAAAAGGTCCGTAAGTTATTTCTTTCACTTTATCTTTCTGTAGCAGGCATAGCAATCTGCGAACTTCAGCGGTGGTCTATCCTGACCAGATGCTCACAGCGTAAAATAAACCGGATGTGACCTCTATGTGACAAATTTTGTGTCCCTGTCTTCTTCTTCTTCTTCTGGCTTTCCGGCAGACTAGAGGCCTCTCACAGTTCATTCTCAGTATCGTTTCATGGCATCACCATTCTCAGAGGGGTAATCCTGTTGCTAGTGATGGGCAAATGAAGCTTTTGTGAAGCACTGAACCACCTGAGCAAATTGTTTCAAATATGGGTTAATTACTCGAAGCTTCAGTTGCAGTGACCTCTCCTGGCGAAGTTCAAGGCTGCAGGCAAATTAGACAGGCTAGCTGGTGGACAGGAGGCTTTTAATTACTCGCACGCCCCTCGATGAGCAGTGCTGGAGAAACTGCTTTACTTTTGTAGAAAAACCACTAGTTATAAAGAATCTTTGCTTTAATCACCCTTGGATTTAAAGTATATTTACTTAGAAAATTCTTTGATGCACACACATTAAGACTGAACATCATGTTTAAACAAAGATTGATGAATGCATGTATTTTGTTGTTGAGGAGAGAGTGCTGGTAAATATGGCACAGGTTGGATGTGGCTGAATGTGTTAGATGGGGTGCACAACACTCACTTTCGAGACGATCGAGGCAGTGCCAGTGAATCACGTGACTGGACCGCGAACCAGTCGGTGATTCATTCAGTAAGTGAAGCAGTTGCTGCTTCGGACCTCACATGTCACGTGATTGAAGCAGTGGTTCAATAGGATTGTAGTCCAGGGGTTTGAAGCGTTTATCGAAGCTTCGCACTGCCATCGGTACCTGTTGCAGATAGAAATTCCATGACTGCTTCCACTATCCTCGATTGGTTCTCAGGAGGATTCAAAATGTCTCTCAATGTCACTGACTGTATTCCAGCTCCTGATATCGCAGAGTAAAGTTGATCCCTTTGCCTTTTGTACTGTTGACATTCCATAAACACGTTTAACAGTTTGTTGTTGATTACAGGTTCTACAGAGTCCATCCTCATGTTTGCCCATCTTTCCCAGATCCCATGCAAGTCCACAGTGTCCCAGTCTTAGTCTTGTCATAATTACCGTGGACTTCAGGAGGAGCCCCCCCACTCTGCCCCCCATCACCATACTCAACAGCCTTGTGTCTGCTGTGGAATCCTTAAGGTTTCTGGCTTCCACTATATCCCAGGACCTGAAGTGGGAGCCCAACACTGACACAATCATCAAGAAGGCCCAGCAGAGGACGTACTTCCTGTGTCAGCTCAGGAAGCTCAACCTGCCTAAGGACCTGCTGATCCAGTTCTACACAGCCATCATCCAGTCTGTTCTCTGCACCTCCATCACTGTCTGGTTTGGATCAAAAAGGACAAGGACAGACTACAACGGACAGCCAGGACTGCAGAAAAAATAATTGGTGCCAACCTGCCCTCCATTCAGGACATTCCAGAGTCAGGAAACGGGCAGGAAACATCACTGCAGATCCATCTCACCCCGGACACAACCTGTTCCAGCTCCTCCCCTCTGGTAGGCGCTACAGAGCACTGTACGTCAAAACCAACAGACTCAGAAGCAGTTTCTTCCCACAAGCCATCACTCTGATGAACAGCTGATTTCTGACTCATGGTGTCAGGAACAATTCCTGTGCAATAACCCAGTAACTCTGCCTCTAATCAGCACCTGTTTACTGGTTTCCACTTATTATTTATTTATTCACCATTCTCCATTTCAGTGCTGTTCATACTATGTCATATTGTGTATACTGTATACCAATACACCTACCTCAGGTCATAAGGTCATAGGTCTTATTTATTTCTCCCAGCATCCTTTGCACTATGCTCCATTACACCGTGTACATGTGTACATGTATGTGTACCTGTATATCATATCCACCTTCAACATGTACATAATGAGAATAATAGTTTACTCTTGCATCCTTTGCACTCTGATCACTGCACTATTTGTCAATATGTCTATATTGTTTTGTTCATAGTGTGTATATTAGTGTTGTCTACTCTGTAGTTTGTGTCTGATTTTATTTTATTATTATTTATTATTGTATTATGGTATTTTTGTAAGCAAGTAAGCACATTGTGAGCAGTGTATAATCCTGAGTCGAATTCCTCGTATGTGTACACATACCTGGGAATAAAGCAGATTCTGATTCTGATTCTGATTCTGATTACAGAATGTCTTCTGGTTTTTCCCAAGTAGCACTGTTCTGTCTTTACTTTTTTTTGTATTGAATAGTAGTGGCGACCCCTTGTTTCATTTTCCCACTCCCTCTGCCACACTGCTGTAATGTGTTCCTTAATGACAGTCCGACATTCAGAAACCCCAATACAAACTGCTAGATCACTGTCTCTTTTCAAAGCCATTTTTGCTGCCCTGTCTGCCACCTCATTCTTTTCCACCCCAACATGTGCAGGCACCCAAAGAAATCCCACTGACCCTCCTGTCTGTTCGATTCTATGCAACAGAACCATCAGCTCTACAAACAGGTCTGGCTGTGCACCCCAATTGCTTCCTCTCAGAGTTTTTAACACTGAAGCTGAATCGGAGCATAATACTGCTCTTCTTGGTTGACCTTCCTCCACCCACTGTAGTGCCCATATAATAGCTAGAAGTTCTGTTCTATACACCGACACCCTCTCAGACAGTCGCTCGAGCTTTACAATTTCATATTGTGGGATATAAAAAGCAAAACCCAATTTCTCAGTTTGTGGATCTTGGGATCCATATGTATAGATCTGTAGATAAGACCCCCAATCATTTTCCAGTCTTACCATATTGGAATGCACAGTGCCTTCATTGTGTCCCTGTCAAAATCGGTTATCTTCTTTTGTGTTTTATGGCAGATTGCAACCATGACTTTTAAAGCTGCATACGGCCACCTACTGTGCCAGAGTATGTAGCATGAACTGTGTTCGTTGGGACTTGTTTATTTAATCAAAAATAAATAAATTAACAGATAAAAAAAACTAAATCTAAATCCTATATTTTTCAGATATTGTACAACAGCCTTTTGTGCATCCTTTACCCCATCTCCTGTTGTTGTGCCTAATGAAACTTCAAGGTTCAACTTCCTTCCTGCCTGACTTATCTTTTGATTTAGCCTCGTCCTCTCATCCCTGTATTTCCTACAGTCAAATAGTAGGAATGTTCTACACTTTCCTTGGACCTACATTCTAAACATTCATTTGATTGACTTTTGCCCATTAAAAAAATGTTTTATTTAACCCTGTGTGATCAAACCTTAGCCTGGTTAAAATGCTGTCCTCTCTTCTGTTCCTTATAGTCACAACCTGAGCATTAATAGATTTTTGCGAACTGTAATATTTCCTTCCACTTTTATCCACATCCCATCTGTCCTGCCATTTCTTTGTCTTTTTTGATTATCGCCTTAGCTTCTCCTTTTCCAGAGGGTATATTTATTCATTGTTCATCCTGGTTTATTTTGTCTGCTCCCTTATTCCCTTTTATACCAAGGTACCCAGCAGAATCTCACATCTATCCGTAGTTTATGTAGTCTAAATAAACTAAATAAACTTTGTTGGATTTCTAGCATTAAATCTTCTCTACTAGATATTTTGAATATTATAAAGGGCTGCTATGGAATCAACACAACACACCACTCTGTCTGGTTTTACACCCTCTACCCACTGCAGTCCTACAATAATCGTCATCATTTCTGCCGTGTACACTGACGCCTGATCAGGTAAATCAGGTAATCTTTTCCCAATACTTACATTCATTGTTAGTCTATCTATTCCTATTCCTACCTTGTCCTCTTCATCTTTAGATCCGTCTGTATACATACGAATATCTAAGTAACTGTAATATTTGCTCCTTATGTACTGACTTGTCCTTTCCCACTCTCTTCCCAATCGCTCTTTAGTTCCAATTTAAGTCTATCTCAGTTTTTGCAAATGACTAAATAGGGATATTACTAATAGTTTTAAGGGAGCTAAACCAGGTATTATTTAATCTATATTCCTCTGATTTAGTCTTTGTTACCCAGCCAAAGCCATTACCTTTAAAAGAAGTATACTCACAACACTCCTGAATAACACTCTCTGCAGGGTTTTTCATAACCACATCCACGTAAGCGACTCCAGTATGTAAGCATGAGTTTTTCTCCAGTCTGAGGGCACTTCGCCTAACTCAACCTGGATTGCTTAAATTGGTGTTGATTTCATTGCAACCGCACAGATCCTTAATGCTTTGTTAATAACTATCCAACTTCAATAAATGTATTTTTAGCTGTTGCTCCATAAACATAGCATCCATAATCTATTGCTGACCTCATTAGAGAAAATCTGCTCTCCTTTCTGGCCAAGCTTAAATTCTGTTAATCTAGATTCAGTTAATATTATGATTTAATAATAGTATTCTGCTAATTTACAGTAGTCTAACATGTTATAGATGCGATATTTACGGAGCTCTTCCTGATTTTAGTTGATTTTATTAATCTATTTTTCTTTTAATTGTATTTTAAGTTTATTCCAACTGTAATGTTATTTGTTTGATGTGTTTTATTGTCTTTGCTCTTATAAAAGAACTTTGCAACATACTTATGAAAAGTGCACTTTAAATAAAGATATTACTATTATTATTATTATTATTATTATTATTATTATTCACAAGCTGTTTTTATTATATATATATATGCATATATTTTGAGTCGTTAATATCTCAACTTTGAGAATTAAAATAAAACATTCTCCAAAGTGAATGTGTTTGTCCCAAGAATGTGTTTATTGCATGTCAAAATTTGCTTCTTATACTTTGTTTCACAACAAATATTTTAAAGCACAACACCATGGCTTAAACAGAGTATTCTTCATTTTCACTGTACAGCCGACAAGACACAAAAATAAATATACAGATTGTCCTTAACTCTGTAACCCACTTTTAGCAAAAGTGTAATGTTTCATAAATAATGAATACACTTAAATAATCCTTTTGTCACCATGCCTATTTGGTCTAAAAATGCCCCTAAAATATTTCTATATTTCAGACAATAAAATACTGATTCCATAGTTCTCTGAAAAACATGTTGACAAAAACATTAAAAGAAACCTAAATCAAGAGTGAAATTTACAATAAATAAAATGACTGGTAATGACAATGGGGGAAACGACATCACTGAAGGTCCACAGCTACCGTATAATCATGGATTTATTTCAGCTAAAGGTTGACAGTTATATGAGTTATGTGTACATTGAATTTCTGGTGATCTGTGAGACATGTCATATATAAGATCACCACCTACTGCTAAGCAAACTCTAATAAAGAAAATGTGCCAGCATTTATAATGCATACATCCTTACTCTCCACCTATAAAAGTATTCACGAACTCAAAAGGCTACAGAGGCTCCCTTTAAACACCCTTCTGACCATAAATTAGCTAAAGGTTGATTTTCCATTTGTATTGGTGCCTCATTACACTTCATCTGTGGTGGTGGCTTGGAGAAAAAGCCACAAAACAACCAAAGTGCAACAATTTCATCCTGGGTTCATGTTTTATCATTGATGCCAATAGTTGTCTGACAATTCAGGGGGTTTTCCTGTGGGGAGGAAAGGTGAAACAGAGTTTAAGTATCCTGCACTGTATTACTGACAATAGACCAGGACACTTTTGATTAACTCACCTTCTCTTCCGCTGTAAGTAAACCAGGACAAGCCAATGAGCAATCAGAGGCCAGAATGCTGTCATTGCCACCGTGAGTGGACAGAAGTCAAAAGGCCACCAGGAGGGCGTGAGGAACTGTAAAAACAGAAACTTACATTAAAGTGATTATTTCCTGATTGGATACTACTTGGTCATAATATTGCACAATAAAAAACCAAACCGTTTTCAAGACCTTTTGTGATACAGGTAGGGAGTCCTCCTGCCTTGGTGAAGATGATCTTGACTGAAAATTTTATAAGAAAATATTGAAATCTATCAATAGATATATATCAGCATTGTCCATTTCATCATCAGTGTTAAATTTCAGTACACAGGTGCCTGAAGGCAAATAAATACGTGCAGTGTGAAATTTGTTTTGTTTTTCCAATTTCAAAATTATGAAAGAAAAGTAATGAAAAAAAATCAACTGCTTGTTCAATGGCAAAAAGAAGTGACAATGTCTCGATCACCATAGCGTGCATAATGTGGCTGACACCCCTGGTCTTTCACCTGTGACAGCGTATGTGCCTCCAGAGCATGTAGCCTATGCAGCACAGTGGCCATATCATGTTGCAGCCTCAGCAGAGCTGTTGCTATTTGCTCATTGATGTTTCCCTTGGCAACACTGACAGGATGTCTGCTCTGTGACACACAACAGCAGGCCGCATCCACACTGGCACACTGTTGAAAGCTGCAGGTTGCCTTTGGTGACTGAGAACCTGAAACTGGAGTCAGGATGTTAATTCTACAACATGCAACTGTGTTTTAGAGTGAGCCTATCTGATGAATTTACTGTAGGAGGATGAACTAAGTGCACATCTTAGGAGGAAGGTAAATTAGGGATACAGTGTCAGCATGAATCAAAGTAGACTACTCACCTCTCCCTCTTCTTGACAAGGAGCTGTTGTGTTGGCTTCTACTAATCCCTTCTCTAAGGTAGGAATCTCCCATGAATACTTGATCGTCTCCTCCATTCAGGGTAGTGTTGCTCTCAAACCAAAGATCCCTCGACGAAGCAACTCCTGATCCAGGTGACAGAATTTTTGATGCAGACAGCCCCTTGGTAGGAAAAGAAGAGTTTGAATAACCATAATAAAAGGTCAGAACACGTCTTACTTATGTTTTACTTTGTAACTCCTTTCTTACTATAATGTTGACATGATTAAAAGGAATCTAGTTTGACATTAAGGGAAATATACATATTTGCTTTCTTGCCTAGGGTTACATGAATTTGTTTTTATACTGCTGTCAAATCTGTCCATTAATTATGAACTACAGCCAGGAGACGGTTTGACTTAGCTTAAAGAATGGGACAAGGGGGAAACAGTTAGCCAGGCTCTCTGTGAAGGTCAAAAATGCACCTACCAGCCCCTTAAAAGCTTTAAATGTCTGAAGCTACTCTAATCTATACAAAAACCAAAGTGTATAAACAACATGTTGTGTTTTTAATGGGGTTTATGTGCAGGACTGTTTCTAGGCTCAATGATTTCCTGATCGTACTGTGAGTTTTGAGGTGTTGGTAGGTGTTGGTTTCCCCCTTCTTCCAGTCTTTATGTTAAGGTAAGCTAACTGTCTCCGCGCTCTGGCTACATATTAGAACACTAAATTGGGATCAATCTTCTCATCTTGCTCGCAGAAATACAACAAAAATACACATTTCCTACAATGTCGAAGCTAATCCTTTAATGTGGTGCATACTATGGCTGAGGAACATCACACCTCTTCCATGGCCAGATGCTCCATTGAGTCACAGAATTCCTCATTATCTGAGTCTGTAGATCGGTGGTTCTTCTCATGAACAGCATTGCTATGGTCTGAACAGTGCAGGAAAACAGGGTCAATTATATTGTTCTTCACAGTATATCCACATAACATTTATTTTGTCATATTTTTAACACAACACTGCATTGTCTATTAGTGTTTGTGTTTATATGTAAATACAAACACAACATGTGTAATTATTCATATTTAATATGGCTATAATTAATATTTTTATAACAAAGGACCAAATGTGTATGTGAAAGGAGACGCTCCTAGTAACAACCCTTATAGTACTATCACCCGACACAGTTCCCCTCAGCTATAGGGAGTGCTTTAACATCTTGCATGTCATTGTTTTCATTGTTTTGGTTTTCCTACTTGCAATTTCACTGTTTTGGTTAGCATAATTACAACAACAAAATACAAACTTAGCCACTAGATCCTAAACATAGCAAGGCATTTAGCAGCTAATGAGCCAGATATTTCCCTCTGGAGTTGGTGCAGTTCAACACAGAGCTAAGATGAGTTATATAGCTATATATATATATATATATATAGCATTCTTCTCACACAAAAAACATTTTCCCACAGTGATAATTTATGTTTCACCTATTTTGAGGTATGCATTGTCATATCTTGAATTTATGTATGTATGTATCTATCTATCTATCTAGAGAGTGTGTTATACAAACATATATACACTTTTTGCATTAATGTGTGTAATCTTACCACTCAGGTGTCCATTAAAGTGCATATAGGAGTTATACTGCACACTGGGCTCTACGGAACAGGCCAGTTCCTCCTCCTCCACCTCGCTGTTGAGGGAGCTGTGTGTCCCATTGGTGAAGGAGGACATGCTGGGCTCCATGCTGCTGCAGGATCCCATAGTGTCAGACCTCCACCTCTTGTCATTCACCATCAGTAGCCTCGGGTCAGGACTCCAGTCTGAGACAATACGAGAGAGATAGAAACAATGGGTTGATTGCATTGAATGATTGATTCCATTAATTCTTGTTATATTCAAAATGTAAACTTTGTGATTTTGCTGCAAACCACTTTGGCAGCATTGTTTAACCTAATCGTTCATGCCCGAGAGCGGGACAGAGAGTGAGAGAGAGCGAGAGAGAGAGATATGGATAAAGCAATACAAAAAAACTTTTTTATGTATCCATACCTTAACCTGAATGTACTTAGTGCAAATTACTTTTTTCTTTATCTCCTTGAAACACTGTTCTTGTGTATATGAATATATATTCAGAGGGAAAATCCATCTTGTTTAACTACTGTAATGGAAACTTTGTATGCCTTGCACCCCAATAATATAGTGATAGTATACTGATAGTATACTATAGTCATAATATAGTGAAAATTTTATACCTAAAAGGAAACAATGAATGTGTGCTGGATGGTCTTTAGTCATATGTCTAATACTGTAATGAGTGTACACATCATAAACACAAACAGTTGCTCTCCTTCCTCTTTAAAATAAGAATAGGGAGGCTTAGATTAAGGAAAACCATTTCTACCTTTTCCAGACCCTTAGCGACTAAAAATCTAAAATAAGAGATGGTTTTATCGTCTCCACCTTCATGGGATTTGTTGACATAAAAACATAGAATATAGAATACCACCTTACCCTTTAAATTATATAAAAAATACTCTGTTGGCTTAGTGTGTAACCTCTACAACACAACTTCACAGAACAAAAACAGCTGACAACTACAACTACGGATGGTACCTTTTTCATTCTCCTCTTCCTCCTCCTTCTCTTCATCGTCTGTATTGTCTTCTTCATCCCCATTCTCCTCTTCCTCACTGTTCCTCCAATCGCTACCTTGCTCTTTTCTCTCGATTTCACTACTTTCTTTGCTTCCCTCTGCCTCCTCGCTACTGACACTTATGCCTTGAACACTACTGTCTTTGTCCTTTTCTTGGAGGTTTTGTATATCATCCCACAGATCCCCATATCCTGAGCAGTGAGGGAAACACTCATGATTAACTCTTTATCAAAGCATACGTTATTCACAACGGCAGTCGACACAAAGCAAAGACATACGCACAGTCTCTTGACAGAATATTTTGCAGCTCTACACACTACATCTACACCACAAATTACAAATAACCACGTAGCCGACGACTGACACACTAACTACAGCACATACATGACAGATTACATAAGAAACTTTCATCCAGCTAACACTCAACAGTTTCTTACAGTTCCTGCAGTGTAAGCCAAGGACAAATTACGCTTATCTTTTGTCAGTCAAATGAAACGGCATGGAAAGCAACTTAATTAAGTTAAAATAAGCTTACACACTGTGGGGCCAAGCTATCAACTCTGCAGCTACTGCACCAAATACTTGCCTTCCATTGTTGGTTTCTTAAATGGTTTGACCAGCTCATCTAGTGATAAGAAGACATGTAGGACAGGCTCAGTAGTTGAAAAAATATCATCTGTGTGACAAAGAGAGTAGTTCTACACCCCACTTAAGCAACAGAGGCCTCTTTTTTCCTCTGCTGTGCCTTCCAGTGTTGAGTTAGTATAGCATTGCTGATCATTACCTGAATGTTGTGCAAAAGGCCTGGTGAAGGGCCTCCTGTCCACCTCATTTTCTTCAGCTTCTTCTCCTTCCCCGTCCACCTCTGTGTAGAAGTTGCCGAGCTTCTGCACCAGGTCAGACACTTCATCTGAGATTGGGATGGTCTCCAAAATCTGACAATACACATAGATAATACTGTTTATGTTAAAAGGGGATTGGGAATTGAATGAAACACGTTTTTGTAGAAACACGTGTGGTAAGTCTGTCAACAACTTACCACCAAACAAGTTAATTACATGTAATGATATATAGCAAAGGCTGACTGATTTATCTTTTGGAGCAGTTAATGAAAGCAGATTAAAAACAGCTGGTAACAGGAGGACCTGAACGCCACAAACACTGGATTTTTGCAAAAGCATTCCTCACTGTTATTTAAAAGGTTCTGTCATTGTTCAACAAATTTCTCAAATAAACTCGATAAAGAGAGTAATTATTTAATGAACAAGACAAAGAGTCTAAATCCATGGCAGCTCTGCAAGACTGTACTGATGTTTAGCAGGTTTAATGTTTACCATGTTCACTATAGTGGAAGTGTATTAAACACATATGTTTACTGTGTGTATTAGAAACAAACAGTCAATTCAATTCAATTCAATTCAATTACCACGAGAACACATTCATGTTGAGAGAGATGTGTGCTCAAAGTTTACTAACCGTTTATTATGCATGCTACTTCTATGAGGCTTTAGTTTTCCTTGAAAGGACTTACCAGCTGGATGTCCTGAACATAATTCTTCATGGCTTCCTCCTTTGTCATATTTCCTAAACAGCTCCATGCATCCCTGGCAACACAAAGTCTTAGTTCAACACTCCAACACTGAATAACTGAAAATGTTAACACTGGTGCTAAGCAGTGCAGAAATCTTAATTTTGTATTACTGCTGGATTATACATTAGAAATACTGGCAGTAGTGTGCAGTAATATTTGGGCATTATTAAAATAAGTCACAGATTTGAAACAATGGTATAGCAGGCATGTGAAGTGACTGTGCCTTTGCCCCAGGCTCTGAATGGACAGGGGATAATACCCTGATTGTATAAATATTATTGATCTTATCTAGCCACCTGCATCCGGTCTGTCTTCTGTGTGGCCACTAGCCATAACTCTGACTTTAGATGTGGAATATAACAAGTACTTACCATTTAGCTTTGCCATGAGTGTCCCAGAAGCCGGTTGGTCTGGGGATGTTGCAGGGCCCCAGCGTGGCCTGCTTGTAGTAACTATAGAACATCAGCATCATGTCATCAGACGGCTGGAAAGGACCTGAGAGATTAGGGAAGCAAATAACAAAAGGGAAAAATCATACATGTGTAAGGGAGCTTGAAACTGTAATAAAAGCATACTAAACTGTTCAGCTGAGATACATGTGAGCTACAGGAGTTGTTGGTAGACTTGAGAAATGCCCAATTTAGTTAATTAGCTCTTATCCTTACAGCAGCTTTATGAATAGAGGGTTAATCAAGAGTGACAGCCCTGCTCTGCATGTAGGTCAATCACCCAGTGTTTACACACCAACAAGCACGACCTCATACTGTAAAACACATAACTGAACACTAAAGTCCGATCGTATCAATTCATAGACCAAGACAGAGAAGTTATCACCTTCTTCAGGCAAACTCCGGATCACTTTAACTGCAGCAGCAAATTTCGCCTCCAGGCTATGTTTGTCCTCCTCCTGCGCCATGCTGAGTCCCAACAATGATGAAATGAAGGAGTCCTCACATCTTGGACAAGAATAGGAAGAAATGAATGGAAAGGTGGAAGCGGTTCAGGAAGTGTTCAGCGAGGGACACTTCAACACATTTTGGTCAACACTGCAGCTAGTTGCCACTTGTCTTATCTAAGGAAGGAGACTGTTTCCTCTTTAATCTTGGATAAGATTGGTCTATTTAATGAGCCCTTACTGGTTTAGCGCCGACAGACTATATTCTTTAACAGAAATGATTCCCTCTGTGGCTGATTTGTGAGAAACTCGCGATAAAGTTCATATTCGCCAGTGCGATTATTATTTCATTAGCCCGGTGTCTGTCTGCACTATGCAGCAGAAAGCCAAGGATAAGCCCAACAGTCAGCGTTTGATGACTAAATATATTTGGGAAATGTAGTTTGTGAGGAGCAAAACCTCGGCAGGTGGTGGCTTGATCCTCAGCTCCTTACTCCTTCAAATCCCACACACCCTTCTCTGCGGGTATTTAAATCGCGGAGATGTGTGGGAAATGTAGTGTCAGGAGGTTATTCCCTTTAAAGATACAATAGCACTGAAGAGGCAGGCCTTTTGCACAATCTTTCAAAGACAAAATATTGTGATACCTTATGTCTTTAAAACGGAATGAATTGTGTCTTTCTCTCTTATCTAATTTATAATCAGGTAGGGTTTTCTGCAGGTTAATTAATGCAGCTGCCAACTTGTAGGGTATTGTTATATTAAATACATCTTTTTGAACACTACGGAATTAAAGGATTTAAAAGTATTTATGTAGGTTACTGCCTTTCTGCAACGACAATTAGATATCTTCGTCTCTGATGAGTAATTTAGACTATCGATTCGGGTAAATAAGCTAAAATACAGACTACTGGAATCGCCTACATGAAATTCCATGTTTTCAAGCTATAGATATTCCATTTAGGTTAATGGTGAATAAGGTCATTATGTTATAATTTAAAGAAATGTTTTACCTTTTGCGCTCTTCTGCAAGTCATTTGTGCCTTTTTTAAAAGCATCTGGTTTTATGATTTTTTAATTGACACATAGTGGTTTTTTTTTTTGTATTTTCTGTGTATGTCATGTTTTTTTTTTCCAAGGGGAAAAGAATAAAGGAGCTGAATTAATATGATACATAACATGTAAATCTGAGTCCCCGTGTAAATAACATATATTTATATTAATAATGAATAATATTATTACAGTTATTTGATGTTTTTCATTTTGTGAACTCACACGTCATCACAGTGAAATGCCATTGGTCCACTGCGCTTCTCTCGGCCAATCACCGGCCACCATTTACAAGGAGGCTGCCATTTGTCAGGGGCTGTTGTGAATCGCAGGCCAGCGGCACCACAATGCCAGGCGGGGGAGCCCCTCTCTCAGCAACACGGCACAGCATCACCGCCTCGCCTCGCTGAAAAGGGACAGAGAGGAGAGAAATGCAAAGCGGTGTAAGATGGCAGAGCTACAAATGCTATTAGAGGAGGAAATCCCTGCCGGCAAAAGAGCTCTTGTGGAAAGCTACCAGAACCTGTCCCGTGTTGCGGAATACTGTGAAAACAATTATGTTCAGGTAAGAGATGCCCAGCGGCCATTACATTTTGTGAATTCATCAGTTAGCTCAGTCGTGTCTGCGGTGCTGTAGTAGAAGTGAGTGAAACCACAGGGGCAGGAAATGCTGGTCGCAACGAAAGAGATCCACAAACCGCTAGCTACACGGAGTGGCCTTTTCTCCCGGGATAGATTCAGGCTCGGTGTCGTGTGTCGTTATTTTCTCCTTTTGGCTAGCCGGCCCGGATCCGTATTTAAAGGCTATACTCTGTGTGGAAAGAGCTGCTGGGGGCTTTGAGAGGGTGTGTCGTTGTTGTGACAAAAGTGGTTTGTCACTGACTGATAGGTACCTGTGACAGAATATAACCTCGGCCCCAATTTGTTATGAAATTTGACATAACGTAAACGTTAATGATCTCTTGCGCGTCAACACGTCCGGGCTACATAACAGCATCATAAAGGAAATTAATGAAATTTATATAAAGAGCCATTTTACTCGTTCAAATGTAAAAGCTAACGCTAACATTAGCAGACCTGTACGTGCTTAGTAATATTTTGAATTATACTATAAATAAAAAGAGTAATACAAGTAAACGCTTAGTCACGTTATACACTAACCATAACTGTAGCATAACGTTAATGAGTAAATACTCACTAGGACTGTTACAGCGATTTTCATTTGGTATTTAGTTTTTCATAATAGCTATTTAGGCTCTGAGCATCTCTTACATGTAGGCGAAGTGCTATATATGTTTAGGGAGAAACACATGACTCTAGATGTGCTCAGGCTTCTCATGATGCAGATATCATGTGTCTGCTTCAGAGGAAAAGCAAGTCTATGGACCATTTGCTTGTAATCAAATGCATGGTGCAGGTTAATGATAGGTGTGTCTGCTTGTTTTTGCGTAATACAGACAGGAAACGTGTGAATCGTCAGAGGCAGTGTTTCCTAAACTGTAGATGGACCTGCAGGGACCAAACAAGCTTTACCATTTTAATAATCTCTTTGGAAGTAACTGTTTTGAAGAGAGTTATGGTTACAGCTAGTGTTATTTCTCCCCCTACAAGATGCTGTGAAAAGTAATTCAGTTCTGTAACAACATAACATTGTTGTTCATATTGGGCGGTCTCCCTCAGACCAATTTACAAAAATATTAAAACAATTTTGGGGATTCATAGCTCGTAGAGTTACTCACAAAAAAAGAGCGGACATTGCAGAGCATCACTGGGTTGAACAGCAGTGTCTGTTGACAGACCGGCACACACCAGAAACCCCGCTGTGCTCCAGCATGGTAATTTTATGACTGTGGTGCTGAGAAAACCCACAGTTGTAGCCATTATAACACGTCACATCACTTTTCCCGGCTTGTCACCAGAAGTGCAATGTAGGTTGCACTGCTTTTAATATACTGACAAGCGTATACACAGCTCTGTGATGATGTGCGCTCACCCCAGTGTCATTATACAGATATCTGAGCAGTGTATTATTTTACTCTAAGGGTTTGCTCTATTTCAAAATTTTATTTAAGCTTTATTTTAACTGCAATTTAATAGTTTAATCTGCATTGCTTTGGTGTAGATTCCATGGAGCTGATATTTTGATTTATACATGTACACTTGCGGATGTTTTAAATTTCAGTGATTTGGGTTATTGTGTGGATATTTCATTTTGGCCGACCACATCTTAATACTAACACCAGGTTGATATCTTGATTCTTCGGTGTTTGCTACTGTAGTGAGAAATGAATGTGTTTTAATTCATAAACTCATGGAAGAATTACACTTCCTCTACTACAACTGAAAATTTATAAATATTTTTGCTATATATTGATGACACTCACAAATCATTAGTTTGGAATTTGCTTTAAACTTTGATGCAAACGAATATCAGGAAGTCACAGCTAAAGGAAATGAAAAACCACTCATGTGAGTTGTTGCAGTTTGACAACAGACGTGCGAAAATCAGATTAAGTGTGATTGATGTGTCCTTCACATACCAGTTGATCAAGAAAACAATCCCTGACACGTTAATAGTAATATTTTATTGTGCCATGCTGAATGAAGAAAGGTTGGAAATTAGGAGACAGTCGTGCAGGCTATTTGTAGTGGACAGTGAGGAAAAAAATTGATTGTTTGAAAATTTGCATGTTAGAGTTTGTTTGCATGTTATAGCTTCTGAAAGCCTTGTCCATTCTTATCACTACAACATGTTTGCATCATTTTACAAATGCTTAGGTACTTCCTTAAACCACGAATGACAAGTGGATGCATATTACTTTTCATCCCACGTTCTCTGCTGATTTTCAGAGCCCTGTGCTGTAGTTTTCTACTGCAATGTCTAGAATATTGCCTGGAATATGAATATACATGCACTGCTGAATAATGATTTCTTCAGGGACATTAAAAACATTAGCTAGAATCCTGCATATATATATATATATATATATATATATATATATTGTGTGCAGTAACATTGCATGCGGAAAGGTTTCTGTATTCTCAGTACAGTTCTTAATTCAGGTAATGACTCCCAGTGGTTAACCATTTTGTAAATGTCTTTAGTCACATTGTTGCCATAGATGTTGTTTTTTTTTACGTTGCACAAAACACCATACTGTAAATGTATGCCTTGATATGTAAATCCACTCTGTGAGGCTGGAGAAAGTTTATTTAGAGTTTTATTCTTAGATGAGATATTTGAAATCAGCCATTAGTAAAACTGTCACCTACAGAATGATTGGTGGCATAAAAGCAGAGCTCTGCTTTGTTAGTCCCTTTTCTTAAGGCCTTTGCATACCAAAATAGAAACTCTTTGGATGATGTCTGTTGTGATATTGAACAATAAATGCGATGCTGTTTTTGGGATAAAGATGGGCCTTAGCTGCTAGATCTTAAAGTTAACTACTTTCCTCATTTTGTTCCAGTATGTCAGTATGTTTGAGGTTTTTTTTGAACGGACCAATCAGTATCACTTTTTAAAAAGGGGTGTTAGATGGAAGCTGATGAACGTACTTAATATTTCCCTGATGTTGACCCTGCCAAAATCCCCCCTGTCGGCTCACATGATACCCCTCTGACTCATGGCTGTTTCATTTATGACTCATGAGGTTCATTTTATTCCAGTATCAGACCTAGTGTTCAGTATGATATGGCGCTCTGAAATTGATTTATATTAATGCATTGTTAAGATGGAGTCAGGTGGTTAACAAAAAAAAACTTTACAAAAGGCCTTAAGCTTTTGTGAGCTTAATATGAAACATAATATCTCAAAGCAGGATAATGTGAGGAAGAGAGGGAGAGATCCACAATGAATAATGTGTTTTAGGGAGATGTAGGCTATTATTACCATGGGTTTTCATGCAGGATATTTTCAGACTTTTTAAAATTAATTTGATTCCGTTGGAAGTTTTAACCTCTCACACGTTTTCTTCTTCCATCTCCTTCTCTTTAATGCATTGCACTTTGTTAAAGATAACAGTGTGTGTCTATGTCTAATGTTACTATTTGAGTGTCTATTTGTATTTCTTTAAATCTTTGTGTGTGAGTGACTCATGAGAATAGTAAAAGGTGTCTCTGCAAGGACGTTTCAGGAGTCTTTACGTGTCCTGAAACATAAGTCACTGTTTTCCAAGCTCAGGTACGAGGGCCTGTTCCAGTCTCTGTGATAATGAGTAAGCCAGCGGTGTTTCCTCTTCTGACTGTGTTGTACAAACTGGCATGGGTCGAGGCGACCTGCAGGTCCCGCCAGACATCTGCAGCAGATATCGTTGCTTTGCAAGGTAGCAGGTGGTCCTGTTGTAATGTGGTGTCATGTTGCAGGCTGTTAGCTTCCTGCTACACATACCAAATTGCTTTGTTAACAGCTGTTAAATCATAGCTGATGTCTTTGTGGCACTGACACAGCATTTATAATATGGGATTCTGGATTAGAATAAGATAAGAATAGATAAGAATAGTGACTGAACAGCATAAGATGCAGAAACAGATCAAACTCAGAGGGTATAAGCCTTTTTAAAAAGAGGAGTTTGACATTTTGAAAAACTGCTTCCTTGCTGAGAGTTCGATGGGAAGACTGATACTGCTGTCATATCTGTCTTTGAAGTAGAAAGCCAGAGCCACAGGATGATTAGCTCAGATTAGCATAAAGTCATGAAACAGGTAGCATGTTGCAGCACCGTAAAACCACAACTTGTTTTTACATTTCTGCTTTTGTACAAATTAATTAAAAAAGTTACAATGTGTTAATAAGTGAGCTTAAAGGTGCTAAGCTGATATGTGGGCATATTAATATTTTGAGAGCCAAGCTGTTTTTCCCTACGTTTATATGCTAAACTACTTTATCGTTTTTCTGAGCTCTAGCTTCATACATAATGCAAAGCTATGGGATGGCAGTCCTCTCATCCAAGTAAGTGAATAAGCATATTTCTTAAAATGCCAATATCAAGAGCTCGTTCTCGTTAGACATTTTTACAAGCAAATTTTCATTACATTTTATCCACAATGTCTAATGATTTCTTGACGTGTCTATATATATATTTCTTTCTCTCGTCTATTACTGATTGGTTAGTTTTTGTACTCATTTTGTGTGCTTCCTGTTCATCATTTTTTCTTTGTTGTATGTTCCTAAATTATGTTAGCTTAGTTTTTTTTGTTTTATTTTTTGTTCAAGTTTGTTTTTCTCCTTAAGGGAAAGGAGTTCCATTGTATAAGTCTGTGGCTTCTTGACCTCTCGTAAAACATCTTAATCTTTCCTTATCTGGATTTATCTGGATGTGTGTGCAAATGAAAAAAGGGAAAGAAAGAATTTCATTGTAAAATTCTGGGGGTTGTATAACAGTGATGCAACTCATTCAATTCAATTCAATTCAATTCAAATTAGCTTTATTGGCATGAACGTGTAACAACAATTCTTAAAGAATAAACTCATTCTTAAAGGACAGTTTCTTCTTGCTCCGTGAGGCTTCATGAATAACCCAAGTTCGACTCTAAAGTGTGATGTGAGACAACTGGATATTTGACTGTTTTTATGACAACATAATAGTAAAATACCAAACATTTGCAGGTCATAACATATAAAATTGTAAAGATTTGCACTTTTTGCGCATTTCATATTTGTGTAAACTGAGATTTTTTCAATTTCGGTGATGAAGTGTCCTTTTCAACTTGTGCTAGGCATTTGTCAGTTTTGACTTTTGACACCAGGAATTTATTAATGAAAAAGGGCGATCAATAGAATAATTTATATTGAAAATAAGTCCAGTTTCCTGGCAGTCCCCTGTTGGACTGGTTCTCTGTGTGTCTGCATTGTCCCTGTTTTGTTTCCAAACTATAAATATGTCCATTCAGTCCCTTTGCTATTTAAAGGCACCCAGAAACAGATGGTTTGCGCAGCCGGGTGGAGATTTGGGATCCTGTGAAATGTCTTGGCATTCCTGCTCACTGGGCTCAACTCCCACCGTGCACCTGTCCCATGAATAACCCAGTTATTCGGAAGTTATTGTTGTCCAATTCCAGTCTGCTTTGCCCCCACAAAGTCATTCCCTCTGAGAATTATGAACTTATGTTCACTCACTTCAGATCTTAAGAGGGATTTGCAGTTTAAAAACAGTGGAGAATGAATGGTCCTGTCAAATACGCTCACACAACTGATCAGAGTGCAGCATTTCCTCATGAGTTTTTTGGAGGTCATACCTTACTTTACTCTGCCAACTTCTCCATTTCTTCCAACCACACATCAATCCACTGCTTTCTCTAACTTGTGTGTTTTCTTTTCCTCTCTGTCGCTCTCCTCTCTGTGCCAGGCTCAAGACAAGAAGAAGGCCCTGGAGGAGACCAAGGCATACACCACCCAGTCTCTGGCCAGTGTGGCCTACCAGATCAATGCCTTAGCTAATAATGTGCTGCAGCTGCTGGACATCCAAGCCTCGCAACTACGACGCATGGAGTCGTCCATCAACCACATCTCCCAGGTGCAGTACACACCACAGCCTTGGAAGATACACATACACTAACGTATGCACGTATAATTGCATTTATGGAAATGCATTATGGTCCGGGCCTTTATTCATTTGATCTGCAGATTGAACAAAGCCTTTAATTGAAACAGGCCTTTATTTCTAATTTCCTCTGCTTTAGAAGTTTATATTACACATTTTAGTAAGACCTCTTCCTGTTTTCTGATCTGCTCCTGTTTTAATTCAGTTTTATGTTAATTCAGAATCAAAACTTCCTCAGTGTTTATCTGTTGTCTTAATAAATTCAGAATCATGTACATTTTACCAGTAGTGATGTCAAACTCGCCACCAGTTTCTAATTTCTAACAGAAACACTGTTTTCATTCACAAATTATTTCCATCCCCTTTCACTTTGACGTTTTCTTTTGATCACCTGTACAGATTTTTCAGATTAAAAGCTGTGCAGTCACTTACAGGGCACATCCAACGAAGGTTAAAATGAAGGGCAACTGGACTTGGTTGAAGCTCAACTGGACTTGGTTGAAGCTCAACCAAGTCCAGTTGCCCTTCATTTTAACCTTCGTTGGATAACTATGACCTGGATGACTGAGAATCTTCATAGACATCTTACAGGGCACAGTTCCTCTCTTTACCTGGTAGGCTTTTAATGTGAAACATCTACAGGAAGACATGAGTTTCATTTACAGTATGTAAATAGTGATCAAAATAAAAAATGTGGAAGTGATTGGAATAAATGAGTGAATTTATCGGTTTAATAAGAGACGAGTTTGACATAACTTGTTGTACTTAAGTAAAGCATATAAATGTTGTTCAGAAAGCTTACACATCAACAAAATCACCCATTTTACAATCAAGAAAAAATCCTTCTAACCCAACCCAAAAAAAAACAGCAAACCACTTTCAAGTTCACTCAATAGTAGATGTGTGATGAGATGTGACGATGTTTCTCATCGAAGTGGAAAGCTGTCTCATGATATCAGCATGACGGAGTGTGAGCGGGAAAGCAGTTCAAACTGTTACAGACAAGACATAAACAACATGAAAGCAACATTTCAAAATGTACCTGCATTGTTTAGCACTTTGTGACTTTCAGTCAAATAGAAGACTACTTTTCCAGTCAGATATGTAGTTATTGAAAATTTCTTCAAAATAGCGTTAAAATCTCGTCTCCTTTTGTTCTCATGAACCCCATATCGTGTATTGTCTCGTCTCGTGAGCGAAGTGTATCATCACACCCCTACTCAGTAGTTACTTCAGCTTGACCTCTGGTTATGAAAAAATTATGTTTTTAAAATTGGAAAACAAAGAAAAATGAACTAAAACGAAAAATTAAATATTGTCATGCAGAATATCATCCATGTTTACATATATGCAAACTTACATATCTTTTTTTTCTCTTAGAATAGATTCTGCAAACACTGCTTCAGGTGCTGCTACAGTCTTTATGTTTTTCTGTGATGTGATAATGCATATTATCCTGATTTTTAAGTTGCCTTCTTTTGTGAACAGCACTGTGTTTGTCTCTGCCGGCCATGGCTGTAAATTTGAATACTGGCCTTTATTTGCAAATGATATTCTGTGGTTGGATATTCAGGTTTACAAACTGTTGCTATCTTCTATATCCTATAGAGGGATATTGGTGCATCAAGGTGGGGTGTTGATTATCATCTGGAGATGAAACTTTTTTAAGTACAATAAAGTACAAACCTGCTGGATTTATTCTGTGGCATAAAGTTAGAAAGTGCACAATGACACAGACAGATATGGCAGGGGCAGGGATCAGGCTGGAGCTGCCAAACCTCCACAACCCCTCTTCAGTCCCTCTTGCTTCATCAGCAGTCCTCCCCCTCTCCCTCTTCCCCCCTCTCTGTGCTTCATGCAGCCACCCTGCCTGTCAGCCAGTGAATGGCCCCGTCCCCTCCCTGTGTGCTTCATTAAGCCTGTCAGGGATGAAGTGAAATCCTGACACCAGCACTCTCGCCTGGTTAGCATTTTCAGCTCCCGCTTTACTCCACAGGCTGAAGGATGAGTACAGTTGGGTGCAGTCTAATGAAGAATTATTATTGATCCTTTAGAGATGGTCGGCTGCGCTATATGATATTTCTGCTTCAGATACACCAGCTCTTGTAACTTGTGGTTGCAGGGCTTGTGATGTGAACACTTGACACCACCCAGTACAGAAACTGTTAAAGTTAGTATGGTCGCATAACTGTAGTTGGTACTGGGAGCATTCGTCAATAGTCAATGAAGGGAGAGACTTTAACAGCCTCAGTCTGTCCATCATGTTCAAAATGGTTCTTATTCATAGAAGTCATTTTGACTCGTCACAGCAGTAAAACACTGGTGTAACTACTAAGAGTAATGATGGCTCCATTCTATATGAGTGTGCCAGTGAAGCCAACCCAGGGAGGCAGTATGCACAGCCCTTGAGACGTCCAGCCATCATTAAAGGTAATAAATACACCTGCACTTTTCTCTTGTGTTGCATGTGAAACTATCTGCCATGACAAAGGTATATCTTCAGAAAAGGGGTTAGCAGTTTATTTTGTATACTGAATACTAAAATTGAGCATATGCAATTAACTAATTAACATTCTATTTCAGAAGTGGAATGATGGTGTTATAGTAGAGACGGATGGCGTGGCTCTTAACGGAAAAGAAAGCCCTCTTAAGATAAAGGCAAATGATAAATTTAATTTCTTTGGTTCAGGAGTTTTAAATTGATACTATTGTTTTCACTAATGGAAGGAAAGGCACCATGATATGTTTTGGTGTTTTGCACAGAGTAAACAAACATGAGGCTATGTTGTTAACTTACAAGCCACGTGTCTAACCTAAGTCAACCAAGATGACATCATTGTGGCTTTATGAAGGACAATCCAATAGACATGGGTGCATGAATATAAAAAGAAGGTACAATTATATTGAGATTCATGTCATTAAAAGTAGCTGTCTCAAAGTAGACATCTAAGGCACAGATGGGTTGTTAAAGTTAATTTACTTTTACATGCATCTCATACAGCTATGTCCCCAGGACTTTGATTCATAATTGTAGTACTAGTGATGTGTCCAAGAAATTAAATTATAATTTACTCGGTAGTGCCAAGAAATGTTTTTCTGGCTTAGACTGTGCAAATTGTCTCGGCTTGAAAGAGTTAAAATGGGATTAGAAAGGTAGCCAAACATTGCTGCCAAACCCAAGTCCCATCACTGTCGGATTTAAAAGCCCACAGCAGAGGAGGCTGTCACAAAATTATACAAGAAAAGCTACTACCTAAACACAAAAGTGTGTTACAATAAAAGCAAAGCTGTTGCAGCACATTTCTCCTGTGTGTGTGTGTGTGTGTGTGTGTGAGAGTCTCTTTAGTCCCACTCTCTTCCAATTTGTTTTCTAGTTTATCTGTTCCTTTTTTTCTCAGTAGATGTCATTCATCAGCTCAGAGTGCCTCTTCAGTTTCTTTTCAATTTGTCAAATACTGAAAATGTGCAGAATGTAACTAGAACTATATCTGAACATACTGATAATGATACAGATATGGACACACTAAATGTACTGTAGAACTGAATTTGTAGACTTGTTACCAAGCCATACGTGTAATGTTAGAAATCAAATATTTGCTGACACGCCTTGGAATATCATTACAGACTACATCATATTTTCCTCTTGCCAATAACACTTCAGCAGGAGTTTAAAAAAAACTTGTTCCACTGTGCTGCAGAGACTAATCATTTGCTAAAACACAGATTTATTAGGCTGAAACTGCTACAGTAAATAGATCCAGCAGTGAAAATTACCGCTGCACCATCTGCTCTCAACACACTGCAGAGGTTGAGCAGACAGCCAGATGTTTATCAGAGTAAAGAGCTTACAAAAGAAAATGACTGAATGACTGACTGAACTAAATGCCTATCGTCAGTGATTAGGTAACAGTTATTATGTCTGGATGTTTCAAAATCATTACTTCACTTAGGTAACATTTTTTTGCATGTAGAGGAAATGCTGAAATGAAGCTGACTGTGTCCAGTCATCGCACTACGGATGTATACCTTGCTAGTTGCACCACTGCCTCAATGTTTCGTCATTGTCAAGAGTAATTCTGGATGGTTCTTCAGTTGTATTTCAGTTTAGACACAGGATGGGCAGTGACAGCATCTGTTGTTTGGTAAAAGTGCACATTTTAAATGATGTCTGCTTAAATCTAGATACTAAAAATGTCCTTAGCTTCTATCCCATCACCACTTATTTTTGATCTAACAGCCCACTATAAACAGCTTCTAGTTTTACCTACAGTATTTTATCTCTCTATCTTGTTTGTCTCTAGCTGTATGTGCTTTTCTGTCCTTCTGAGTTTTGTTGTTCTCACTTTCTGCACTCCACCTCTACTCGCGTATCAGTGGCAGGAAATAGGCGGGCCTTTTTTCTTACTTCCCAGCCGAAGCTGGGTGTGTCACTTCAGTTTCCTCTCCTAAAAAAAAAAAAAAGGAGCCCAACATGTCGTCTATATATATATATATCTCACATGCGGCACTCAGGCTTCATGTCAGACACAGAATGAGTTTTGCGCAGCAGGAGGGAGCAGCAATGGCGGGTCAACTTCACAACACCTATCAGTCTTTCAATCTCTCAGTTGGATTCTTCATCTCCAACAGCCAGAGAGTCGCAGCCGTGGAGCTGTCGGGTTGACTGGATGAGTTGTCTGAGTGGTGATTGATGCGTGACCCCGTAGCTGTATGGGTCTCGCACACTCATACGTGCACACATCTACTTACAAAACATGCACTCAGATATACATGCACACACACACTTGTATGTTTTATTTGTATTTCAAATCAGTCTCTTACAATCTAGTATGCAGCAAATGCAGGGATTTACCGTATTTACAGTAGGATTAACAACATTGATGGATTCATATATGTGTCACACAAGCCTTGAAAACACTTACACTCGTCAACTTCTCCCAAGCGTGACCTCATATTTTAGAGATGAAGCTGTCCATCCTCCCTCTTTCGTCCCTCCCTCCGTTCATCCCTCACTCCTTCCAGTTTCATCTATCATTCATAAATTGAAGGCCAGCCCGTAAGGCGCCGGCTACAAGCGATAATGAGTGTAATCACAGAAGAGATGGAGGTCACTGGCATTTTCAGTTACTCCTGGTGCGAGGGGTATAAGGAGGGCTCCTTCAAATGAGCCCCAGGGTGTAGGGCAACAGAGCAGAATAGTGGGTCAGTTGGAGCTGAAAGAATGGACCCAGAGCGTGTGGCCAAGCAGTGGGAGGCCTGGGGATTTAAATAACATTATCTTATTAATATAAAACATGTTCATTTTGCTGCTTTCTGTTGCTAATTGACAGAACACATAACATTGAAAAGTGTCAAGCTATGAAATGCTTAACTGTAATTGTAGTGTAGCAGGTGTATGTACGTATAGATGATAGGTATAGCCAACAACATTTTGCCCATGAGCAGCACTAGCACCTGCGAATTCTCAAATGTAAGCTGGCACTCAAATAACCACTGGGTCTCAATTAATGGTAAATATGCTAAATATAACAACAATAATAGATCAACTTAAACAAATAGTCAATATAGTAATGATTAGTATGCTAAGAGTGGACCCATGAAACTACAAAAGGCCCCTGAGGGACTCAACAAATGCTGGTATTTCAAACGTAACCACGTTGTTTCTGCTGCAACCATTTAAACATGGGTTACAAAAAAAAACCAAAACATTGTATATTTTATAATAAAATCCTACCAGGGATGGTAAGGGAGGTGATTATGCCCCCTTAGCTCTCAGGAGGCTTTTAATGTGAAACAGATGGAGGAAGTGTTGGGTCTGCATTAAAAGCAAATTACTGTAACATGCGCTGGGGAGGCTTTTTAGTAACATATGGTCCAATCTTTCTACGAATCAGGGGAAATTAGAAATCATCCATGTATCTCTTAACTAAAATGATAATCTTGAGTTGAAGTGAATACATTTAAAGAATTTTGAGTATTTGCGATACGTGAACTAAACCTTTAGTCTGCTGACCCGACCACTCCATGTCCTACATCATTTCTCTCTCTTGCAGACAGTGGATATTCATAAAGAGAAGGTGGCACGTCGGGAAATCGGCATCCTGACCACAAACAAGAACACCGCTCGCACCCACAAGATCATCGCCCCGGGCAACATGGAGCGTCCGGTGCGCTACATTCGAAAGCCCATCGACTACACACTGCTGGATGATGTGGGACACGGCGTCAAAGTAAGAAGGATTTTTGTGATTATGTCAAAATAAATCCATCATAGGTTTATTATCACAAAACTATCTTTAGTGAAGGCAAACAGACTTAAAGGTCAATAAATCTCCAATAATGTGTTTACTAATATCAAGAGCATCCTAGTTTCTGTTCGCTTTTTAGCTACTGGTTTTCAAAAAGCATTTCCACACTATTCTAGCTTCACCACAACCAGACTGCTGCAGCTTAATCCCAAAGTCATTACGTTGATGTATCGTCTTGTATTTCCAGTGTTGATCAATTTTGCTAGAGGAAAACACGCACTTAGTCGAGTTCGCACCTGGCACCTTCCTGTGAACAAAGTAACTGTCTACTTTCATAATTCACTCACACACATCCAGTCACACTACAAGCCAATCAATATACTGGACTTTCAGTTAATCAAGTACAGAAACACGAAATGCAAGCACTCGTGTGAAAATAAGATGCCATGTTGGAAGCTGACTGTGGTTGAATAAGCTTTGCTTGTCAGAGGTTTCGTTCATGCCCAGTAACAAATATCCTTAGCTGGAAGTTAATAGAAAAGTGTGTGTTTGTGTTTGTGTGTGTTGCATCCAGAATGTGAGCAAGAGAGAGACATCTTGGCCAAGTGGTACTCACACCATTGCATGCCCTCTTGAATTGTGGGAAAATATTCTTTCATCCCTTTCCGGCTCATTCTTCAATTTTTTTATTCCCTCTCCCCATGATGCATCCGCTGTCTCCTCTCCCCTCTTCTTCTTTTCCTCTTTTATATAACGTTCTGTGTGCAAGTGTGTACACACAGTTATGTGCATTGATTGCCACCGTCACACATTTTTTCCACAGCCTGTTTGACTTGGCCTCTTCATCCCTGTCTGTCTCTGTTGAGATAGTGACTGCTGCATGATTTTCAAAACGTCCGCTGATTCAAATTCAAAAGCTAGTGTTTCCTCCTCTGAGAGCTGGCTCACACTGAGACACATTTGGCATGGTCCACTATGCAAATGAAGCATCATTCATGGATGCTGCAAATGATGGATCTCTGCAGAAATCAGTGCAGATCAGTGTGTGTGCAACCTTTTTTTTTTTTTTTTTACCTTTTCAAATATACCTGCATAGAAAAACAACGGTTCATGCTGCCAGTAAAGAAAACATGACTCAGATATCTGTAAAGTGACTAAATTCCGGGAGTCTACATTTGGGGATTGCTTTAATTTAATTAAGCTCAGTTGTCTTGATAACAGTTAGATTTTAGGAAGGAAGAAAACCTCTGGGGATTGAAGACTCAGTGGCTACTGGTTCATTTTAAATTCTCTGTGATTTCTCTGTCTGGCTTTGTGTGTGTGTCTGTGTGTGTGTGTAGCTGCATTTTTGTTCATGGATGTGCATTTGTCTGGGTTGGTGCAGACAGAAGTGCATATCACATTCCATATTTTCCCCCCAAAACACTTTCTCTCTCACACACATCTGTGAATAATTCAGAAGGATTGATATCATTTCATAGTCCCTGCTGCACCAGACACTGGATAGAAATGTACAGTATTATGAGAAGTATATTAATGCACAATCACATGTGTGGGTATATTTCTCTGTGTATTTGCTTCTGTGTACATATACATGTTCATGGTGTGTTCATACTGTGTGGGACATCCACTCACTCTTTACAGCCTATTTCCTCCCGGCTGTGCTGGATTCCCTCAAGCGTTCAGGGTGTGATCATCACCCCTCTGCCTTTCATCCACATAACCTCACATAACATGGGTAGATGGGAGGTCAGACTTGAGCATGGAAAGGCCCATTCACACATTTACGGATGACTGTGCTCATCCCTCCACCAAATCAGCCTTTATTGGCATTGCTGGCAGTTACCAGGGTGAAATAGTTTCAGCCACATTACAGCCACTCCATCAGTCTGAACACCTCTCTGCTGTTATTTATGACCTCGCTCTGCTTTACTGCCCACTTTTATTTTTTCTTAGTTCAACACTTAAAACGTCAGCACAGCTGTATGTAGCTTAGGCACTGCTCTTTATTTCTAGTATCTAGCCATTTCAGTGATTCTCATTCTGATTACAGTACAGTACACAGAATAGACTACATACGTACATAGACATAAACAGGGTTGGTGAGTAGTATCCTTATGTGTATTTCTTCAGTGATAGTTTTCACTTTTTTCTGCTCATGGAACAAAAGGAATTTATTTTTTCCTCTTTGTGGTATAAAACCTAAATTGGGCTGTTTGTTGTAAGTTTATTTTCTGGCAGGCAGGTGTCTGAGTGTTAGCAGGAGTTACTGACATTATAAAAAATAATTTATGTGCAGATAGGGTTTATTGTAACTGATAATATACCAAATATTGTTATAAATGTTGAATAAAATGTGATTCAAGATGCATTGAAAATGTGATTTGACAATTAGTTTCAACAACTTTTATGACATTTTATAATCAATAATGAAAATCATTTTTAGCTTCAGCCTTAAAAGTGACATTAAAGTTCATTAAAATGTAATTTGCTCTAAAACAAAAAAATTGCAAAAATTCGCTGGTGCCATCTATTCAGATGTAACAATGTGCTGCTTTTCTCTGTTTTATGTCATTGTAATTTGAATGCCTTTAGGACAAAGGAAGAATTAGAATATATGACCTCACGATCAGGGAAATTGCGACATTTTTGTTCATTTTAAGAGCAATAATGAAAATCAGCAGCAGCTTCAGCCTTGAATGTGAATTCATTAGGAGACAGTATATGTTTGAAAATAGACATTTACATGCATTCAGCATTCAGCCGAGATTTTCAGCCACTGATTTTTTCAGTATGCTGCTTACTGGGATAGTCAGTTCAAACCACTTGAGTCTCTTTTACACTCGTACTTTTCCTAATATTAGTTTCCTAGATGTCCTTCTACATTTCTCTACTCCCTTATGTTTTTCTTCATGATGCTCTTTCAGCTTTACATTTTGTTTATACAAATATATTAATGAAGAATAGATGCAGTGTTCATGCATAATGCTTAAATTTCACACTTGTTCTCACTGAACTCACTAATCATTAATCAATGAGCATATCCTGTTTTCTGTCTTCCTCTTTTTGCCTGCTTGCACTCAGTGGCTTAAGGCCAAGGTAAGAGATGGTTGTCTTTCTCTTCTTTTTGTTGTATATTGATAAAACTCAGTTTTAACAGTTAGGGTATCCATGCACCCATTTAAACTTTAATTTGTGAATACATACAAGACTTATAGATTTGATAACATGGAATTACATTTTTATGGAAGCAAATATGATTCAATGAAAAGTCTAAAGTTTATTACACTGCAACATAGCAGTATCATTACACATTTTATATCTTTTTGCCTGTTTTAAGGCCACCAGGTTACCTGAAACCTAGTATGAAATTCTACCATGAATATACTGCAGGTTCAACTCAATATGTATGTTACTGTAAATGGTTACAGGAGATATGAAACATTATATTTCATCTGTATTAAGTCATATTTACTCTTAACACATATTCCTATGTCCTTCTTCATCCATGTACCAATCAATGAATAACATGCCATTTTACATGCTCAATTTCACAACTAAGACAGCTAAGTCACCTTTTTAGTGCTGCTTTCTGTTCTCTTTCTCCCTTCATAGCTCTCTTTGTCTCCAAGTTTATGTCTTTATATTTGTCTGTGGACAGAAAAACCTTTGTGCCATTGGTTTTTATCCAATTTATTTAATTATGCTTGGTTGAAACAAAAGATAAGATGCTCTTTTGCTGTTAATATCTCAGGTTTTGCTCATTATAAGTTTAGGTGACTACTCAGCCTTAATATTTATTGGCAGGGGAAACACTGGTGTCTGTAAATCAGATTATACAAAAGCAATGTTTTACTCCTGTAGCAACATGGGAACAATGCAGCAGGACGAGGAGGGACGATTTCCAGGACCAACCCACCCACGCAGAAACCCCCAAGCCCCCCCATGGCTGGTCGTGGTACTCTGGGGTAAGAACTCATCGTTATAGTAGTAGTTTTTAAAATACTTTAAATTCTTCTTAGTCTGTGTATATGTATTATCGTGCAGACATTTCACAATGGTTGTTCATAACACCAGGACCACCTGACAACAGTTCTATAAACAGTGTCTATAAAAGCCCCAAGTACTTTCTCTCACTTAATGAAAACACTGAGGATTAACTGTGTGCTCTTTGGCTATGTTTATCTGTATCCAGGCGTAACACTCCCTACAAGACCCTGGAGCCAGTGAAGCCTCCAGTGGTGCCTAACGACTACATGACGAGCCCGGCCCGACTGGGCAGCCAGCACAGCCCTGCACGCACAGCCTCACTCAACCAGAGGCCCAGGACACACAGGTAGCATAGACCCTCTCTACTTATAAGCCTTTTTCACAGCAGACATTTTGACTTGTCGTCGTAGTAGGAAAGACACAGGTGTTACCAATAACATTACAGATGTTCAATTCAAATGTCCAAGTAAGCCATGACAGTGTGACAGTGAACCAGTATGCACAAAACACGCACCCTGGACCTAAAGCAGCTAAATGGAATTTAGCCGTCATCCATTTTATTATTTATACCCGTGTGTGTCCTACTGTGACATGTCAAAATGTTGTCTGTCAAAAAGGACCATTACCTGTGACTTATTCCACAGTCGTTTTCAAAGAAGGCTAATACATTAATTAGACCTGTCCTCAGTGTGGGTGTGTGCAGTCTATGTTAAATTGATTGATATCGTATCAGATTCTCTGCCATCTCCGTTTAGGACAGGACAACTTTTATGTGTAGCTTTGAATTTGTCATGGTTCCGCCAAAATTTATTATTTAGGGTGACTGCTCAGTATGACTACACGAATTTCAAATCTGCAGTAATAATTTATTCATGTTCAAATTTCAAATCAGCGTCTAAAAGCTAAGTTTAATTACTTCTTGAGTCTGAGCTTTTGAGATTTGAACGCGGTTCTCCTCCTTTTGCATTTGTTACTCTGTGTGACTGTATGCTCCCAGATTTTTGCCCAGTATTCGTGTGCGGATATGCCTGACAGTGTACAAAGCATATTTACAGAACTGCAAATCTGTTGCCACAGTGATGAGAATATTATTTTGGCGGTTTGACATATGAGAGAGTAATGGTACGATGTCAAACGCTGTCATGTAATTAAGTTTGTCTGACACATCCTCCTAATGATCATCACAAAGACGCCGTCTCTCTCTGTCTCTCTCTCTGCAGTGGCAGCAGTGGCGGGAGTGGCGGCAGGGAGAACAGTGGAAGCAGTGGAGTTGGTATCCCTCTAGCAGTTCCCACCCCCTCCCCTCCCAGTATGGGGCAAGGTGAGTCTCAGCAGCTATAACCTCACTGCTCATCACAGGTGTCCGCAGCGTGGACTCGCTGCTGTTTACGGTAATGAATATTTGTAGGCTCCTCACGGTATCTCCCTGCATGTCACTTGTCCTCTCTTGCTCTCATTGGTGCATTCTTGTCCTTAGCCTTTTTCTCTAGCTCAAACATTATCACACTCACTCAAATTGACAATTATCAGGTCAAACAGAATGGATTCAAATGTGGTAAGATAAGACTAGTGATTGACTGATTAATTGGTTGGCTGATTAATTGAGCCGATATCTGGCATTTTGAGCTAATCAGCGTCAGCTACTTTCACGAGGCCGATACACAAAAACTGTCTGCAGACACATTTGCAGGCATCCTTGTCAATGTGGCTGCTGTGGAACAATGTTAGTTCTCCTCATGAATTTTGGGAAGGTGGTGAAAAAGTTAGTTTTGAGCTCTAAATTTCCTCAGTCATCATTGTCTTTTCTAAATGTTAAGTTACTTTCAAAATTTTCACTTAATGTTAAAGACATGTATGCAAATGCTAGATAAATTGGAAGCATTTAGCTTCAATCAGGCCTTACTTTAGTGTCTTGCTATATTATTATACATTATATATTATTATACATTATATATATGGTGAAGAAAATGCTGGGCAGGCAAATGTTTGCCACTTGCAAGAAAGGGAGAAAATGAGAACAGAATTGAGAAATATTAAAAGATGATGAGTGTTTTTGCATAAAGTTATTGTGTTGTTGCTGTTTGTTTTTTTTTTCTCTGTGGACCTGTAAAGTTGACTAATGTAAACTGAATTTAATTAGGCCCCGAGCATGAAACATGCAAGGACCCTATTGAAACTAAATGACTTTCTTTCTTTCTTTAAATGAAGGGCATTTTGGATAAATGGTCATTTTTGGCCATTTACAGATTCTGTGCTAACAAACTCCTGCTAGGGAATTAATACGATCGACTTCAAAATTTCACTGTGCAATCAAAAGCCATTGTTGATAAAAAGTTGTGCTATTTGTGAGGTTTCGTCAAAGGGCGTGTCCGTGGCGTGGCGTCGCAAATCGATCATTCGCCATGAAACATGAAGTTGTTGTTTCACTGTACATGCTCAAATCTGTTCCAAATTTCACATTTGACAATAGTCCCACCCTGAACAAATCTAAATTTCAATAATCACTCATACTCATTGTGCCACAAACTGGACACAGGAAGTGATCCTTCAATGGAGCAGCCCTCGTTCCCCGTTTGACCTACACGCAGGAAACTTGTGTGGCAGATGTATCACACACAAAAAAGTCTCTTCGAAGAATAACTTAAGCCCAACAGGAAGTCGGCCATTTTGGATTTAATGGTAATTTTTCTTAATTTACAGGTTACGTACTTTAACAAACTCTTGATAGAGAATGAATCAGATCGACTTCAAGTTTTTGCTGTGCAGTCTAAAGGTATTGATGATGAAAAGTTGTTCTATCTGTACATTTTCATCAAAGGGTGTGTCTGTGGCGTGGTATTGAAAATCAATGATTCGCCGTGAAACAGGAAGTTGTTGTAACTTTATTGTAAATGCTCACATCTGTACCAAACTTTACATACTTGATAACGGTCCCACCCTGAACACATCTACGTGCCAATATTCAGTTATAGTGAGAGCGCCACCTACTGGTAACAGGAAGGTAAGCCCTGTTTTATAATCATCATTTGATTTAAATGACACTTTCACCTATTGGGACCATAATGTGTAATTAACAGGTGCTCCCTAGCGCCACATAGGGGAAACAAGAAGTGATGTTTCCAAAACAGGCAATGATTCACAGCCGTTTGGTCCGACCTGCTGCTATGCCAAGGCCACGAGAAGTCAAGACAAGCCAAGACAAGCCCCAACGCACGAGGGCCCGTCCAACGCTGCTTGCAGCTTTAAGAGCTTCATATTATTTTTATCATTCTGCGTGGAAATATACTGAAGAAGAATGCATACTGTTACAAAACCCACTGTTAATGTTAAATACAGTGGCAGCCCGCGTTCATCAGGCTGAAGTTTTACTGTGTGCCTATGTTTCTCCTCTGCTCTCATGCAGTGGCGACTTCCTCGGCCTCAGTGCCCCAGGGCCCCGGCTTGGGTCCCATTCCCATGTCCCAGTTCGGCACCATCTCCCGCCAGATCTCCCGTCACAACTCCAACACCACCTCCTCAGCCTCCATGGTGTCGGCCACTGGTACTTACCGCCGCGCACCCTCCGTCTCCTCACAGCAGCCCCACATCAACGGGGGCCCTGCCTACCCACAGAACTCAGGTACTATATGCTTATTTATCAATAATGTATGTATGTTGGTGTATAGAAATAGTCTTTTCTGGTGTAATGAAACTGTACATTTTGGCCAGCATGTATAAAGCCTAGAGGAAGCTTGTGTTTAATTATTTTACTATCCATTGTGGTAGTTTTTATCTCTCCACAATCCATAATTATATGAAACTGCTAACAACTGTCCTCTGGGTCTAAAAGATATGCATGGACTAGCCCTTCCAGGGGCTAATGAAAATGAATGATGAGCCATAATTACTGAAGTCAGGGTTGTTGAAACCTTCCCACCTCAGCACTGCTGTGCAGAGTGTTTCATTACCATTTCTAATTGAGTTATGACATTATCACTTTAGTCAGTTGGAGATGGGTTCTTGTTCCGGAGAGACAGGCAGGCAGCACAGGCACTTCGGGGAAGAAAACACAAACAGCTGCTAGACAAGGGGAAACCCAGGACATATGCATATTATCTGTCAGAAGAAGAGTAGAATTTATTTTGGCAGGCATCACTCTGAGCCATTCTCCTCTAATGGCTTCTCTCTCAAAGGACAAGCATCTTCCTTGGCACAGAAGGAGGAGGCTGTCTGTCTTGTCTGGAAGGAGAGAGACAATGATGCAGAGCTGCATCAACCAGGGACTTAAACTGGGACATCATATGATCTCCGTGATATCTACTCATTGAAATGTAATTGAAGTGAAAGATATATTTCCGCTGAATGTAATAGAAGTTTTACAGCACAAAAAGCTAGTTCCGGCACATGAGGGAGCTCATTGATCTCACAGGGTGTAGCTGTGGATGGATGTGGCTCTGCGGTAAGAGCAGGGTGGAATAATAAGACATTACTGCCCAGTGAGATTACAGACGCTCATCCATTACATGAGATTTATGAATCAGACCTGGCGTGAGTGCGTGTGACATCATGTCTTTGAGTGAGGACAGCTGTGTTTCTCTTTGTTTGTCTATTCATTTATTTTCATTTTTTGGAGACAGTGTAGCAAAAAAAACTGATTTTAGGGGCAGAAGATGAAGATCATGTGAATGATATGCCAGGGGTGTGATTGAACTACCTGATCCAGACATACCACGCTAATTTAACGCACATCTGAGTTGAGCTGTCACCTTGCCACTGTCATGTTTTTGTATCTGTGTAGTGCTTTGCAGCTCTTTTACTGTAGCATAAAACTATTGCTAGCTACAGGCTTTGCTTCTGACTTGAAACAGATGCTGATGAGGTAGATTCTCAGACTGAGATGAGATGAGTTGAATGCCTATTTAGCCCAGCTTGAAAAACGCAGCACAAAAGAACTGTGATTGGAAATGTGTAAATGACTTGCTCAGCAATGCTTCCTGCACTGTTTTCTCTCACTGACAAGCTTTTTGTTTTCAATTTTTTTCTTCTCTATTTTTCCACTCTGGACTTTCATTATTTCTTTTTGCTCTTCACTTGTCATTGTCGATCTCCCTGTCCTCCACCTCCATCGCTCTTTGTCTCTCTTCTGCTTTGTCTGCCTCGCTGGGTGTTGCTGCTCCAGTGTCTGTGGCTCCTCCGCCTCCTCCTCCAATGGTCCAGCTGACCCCACAGATCCCTCTGACTGGCTTTGTGGCCAGAATGCAGGAGAGCAGTAAGTACAAAATCCATGCAAACACATGGGCATATGCTTTGTTATGCACATGTACATGCATGAGTACAATTAAATCCACTGTATGCATAGTTTTGCACACATCTGCACACTTACTTGTGCAACAGCCAATGACATGTAACCAGATGTTCAACCAACCAATCAGTACCCCAGTATCTTAAAAAGTGGGCAAGCGTTAGAAAGGAAATACATGCATTGACATACAGAAAAGGTCATTGTACATTTATCATAATCAGATGTGTTAATTTATCTTCATTAGTGTTGTCACGATACTGGAATTTCTAACTTCTATACAATACCTTGAAAAATATCAATATTTGATACCATTTTCCATACCACGGGAGAAAATTGACTCAACATTGATTACATTTTCTGAATTTAATTACTGAATCTTATCAGCTTATCTTAGTAAGTAAAGTTAATAGTACTGTGTGTTCAGCAGAACAGCATCAGTTAATTTACTCCTGGCCTTAGTCAGAGTATCACCTGAATCTCTGTCTGAGATACCTCTAAAGGGGGATTAGCTTAGTTTTGACAATTACAAATGTCTGTTGGGCCAACAACAGGACAGCTATCTTATCAACAACAGTTTACTGGGCCATCTTATTTAATACTTCAGTGATGTTGAAAGAGAACACGTCTCCAACCTCTCGAGGTCGGTGTGTTGGTCCCGCAGGTGCTTTGCTCTTTCATTAGCACTGCCATGTACCATTGCTTTCATTTGGGCTTGTTGTATCCTTTCCCTGCATCCAATCACTAGTGACAAGTACCAGCCAATCACAGCACAGTAGGGCAGGAGTTTTTGAAAAGGCAGGAATAAAATAACGCGAATCAACCAGAGCGAATGAGACGAGTGACGAGAAGACTCACACAGTGAGTGAGAGGAGGCGGGGCTATGTGGGCACTGCAGCTGCAGTTGAGAAGGGATTGAGAGAAAGTGCATTTTTTGTATTGATACTGCGGAAAATGAGTATTAAAACTATTTAGAATATTCAGAATTGATCAAAAAAATATATTTTTGACAACACTAATCTTGATACAGATTTTAGATGATCTCTATATGTGCAAGCTTACATCCTGTATATAGAGACACCTTTCATCACATCTCTTATCAATCCTCTGAAATTGTCTGAGCATCCAAACACAGCCTCACATTTACTCCCCTCTGTGGACGGCCACACTCATCACACCTTGTCCTGCAGTGTATTTGGGGTTGAGGCGGAGCACACATCCCTTGGATGTCGGTCTGTTACCATGGTGATGGATCACTGAAAGCGAGCGTCCTGTACTTTCTGTCCACTGAAGAGAGAAAATGTGACCTGATGCTGTGTCCTGATTCACCACCCGCCTGTCTGGAGAAATGCAGCCCGTGTACTGATCTGACTGTCTGTATGTGTTAAGTCACACAGTCAGATAAAGAATAGAGTTTGTCTTAACCAAGATTTAAGGTTTTAAACCAATTTTAGCACATTTAGAATAACAACAATAATAAACAATGAGCCAAGAAATACTGATCTTATATATATTACGACTATAATAGTGACATTTATAAATTGGTACCTACACAAATGCTTTTTTTAGCATAATAGAAAATGTCCTGCCTGAATTGTCATTTACTTTTATTACACAGTTTTCTTTAATAAGGAATGGTTGACCTTCAGTTCTTGCCAACTTCATACTTACTTACTCTGACTAAATGTAATGTATGCTGCGTTTACAGAGACCTTCAAGGGGTAACGGATTGGACTAATAAAATCCAAGACAGCCATTGTTAAATAGTGAAGAGGTATAAAAAGAGATGTAAGCAGACTAGAACAGATGCATTCAATTCAGTCCTTTGGTACATTATTGGCAATTTGTTTAATTCAAGAGCAGGCTTATGAATTAGTCAGATACAAGGTGCAGTTTTTCTTTAATCACTGGACTTGTGGGCATAAGCCTGCAGGGTTGCCTAAAGATGACGCTTGTATCACAAGCACTCGTGTAGTTGAAAGACTAACGACTGTAGCACCAGTGGAAATGTGTCAGGACACAGTCAAGCTTTTACACTCACACCTCTGGTAAAACACAGATCCACCCGTTTTACCACAGATAGAAATGATGGGTCCGTTCTCTGCTGAACTTATAGTCTTCAGACACAAGCACGCCGAGTGTGTGTGTGTGTAAAAACACACATTCTCACAGAAGTGACTCTAGTGAATATTAAGTGTCTTTAGTTTTTAATTGTACGATTAAGAAGGGAAAAATTAACATACAAATCATACAACTTTATGAATGTCTTCAGAGGTCATTGCAAAAGCAATAACTCAAAAACAATGTTTTCAGAATGGTACTACTAGTAGTTTTACCAGCAATGGTAGCTGTAGCTACCTTGGAGGACACAGAAGTCTTGAATATGTATGCTAGTTTAGAAATTTGTTTTACTAGAAATAAAGACCCATTGTCCTTGACATTTGTTGTAGCCAAAATAGTTCAAGAATCAAATATTGTTGCTTTGCCATGTTAGACCAAAAATAATAAAAATGAAAGAGGTTTTAAAAAAACATTGCATTTTGAAATTATCTACACACACTCTGCTGCATGAGATACATTTTGAAAATCACTGCGGTGCCAGATCAGATCTGGAGAGCAAACGTGTTATCTGTGCACTCCTCTCGCTTGCTTTTTTCTCATTTGATTTTTCTGATTCTTTTTCTCCTCCACTGTCTGTCCTCTTTCAGTAACAGACAGCCCCGCCCCGCCTCCTCCGCCTCCCCCAGAGGATATTGGCGTGTTTGAGGAGCCCTCTCCCCCGCCTCCACCCCCACCTGTGGACTATGAGGAAGAGGAGGCCGCGGTGGTTCATTACAGTGACCCCTACTCTGACGGAGACCCCCACTGGGCTCCCAAGGCTTATTTAGAGAAAGGTTTGTGAGAGGGAATACAGCCGGCTGGGGGACTCTTTTTTTTTCTTCTTTTTTTCCCCAGGTACTTCACCCATTGAAATGCTCAACTAAATATTTGTTTTTATAACGATAATAACTAATGACAATGTTGTTTTTCCCAGTTGTGGCCATCTACGACTACTCCAAGGACAAGGAGGATGAGCTGTCCTTCATGGAGGGTGCCATCATCTACATAATCAAGAAAAACGATGACGGCTGGTTTGAAGGTGTCTGTAACGGCGTCACCGGACTCTTCCCAGGAAACTACGTCGAGTCGATCATGCACTATGCTGACTAAAAAAATTAAAAAAAAAAAACAACACCCAAAATGGCACTGCAGTTTTGAACAGAGGTAAAACCGTGAAGATGTACAGATGTATGCAGTCTAGCGATTGCAGCTCCCATTTGAATGAATTGAAGTACCATGGTGAATTTACAAATGGTTTTCTTTTTGGAGGGGGGCTTGCACGGTTTTGTGTGTCGCACAAAGATGGAGGATGCTGAAGCTTTGGAAGACCTGGGTCTGTTAGTTTACACTGTGGACAAAAGGGAGGAGATAAAAGACCTTTTTGCTACCACTATTACATCTGTGGTGGTCGGTAGCACTTTTCAAACTCACATTTTGCCTCACAAGAAATTACATACAATCAGAATAGTTTAAAGAATGCCAAGTAGATCTAGATGTAGTGTTAATGTGTGTATGTGCAACCAACATGTCTAGTATTAACAGGATGCAGAAGATCCAGAAAGTATTACTACGATTTCATGAATAGATGAGGCAGAGTAGCGTTCTTATGATAAAATGCTGCACAGACACTCCTAACCCTTTATTTGCACTGTAGACCAGCAGGCCAACCCTTTTCCTCCTCAAATTCATCTTACCTTATCATAAAAAACCCGAAAAGGACAAATAAACATCAGCAAGTGCATTAGGACACGACTGAATGTTCAATCGCCGTCGATGTCCAAATCCACAAGATGTTTTTAGAGGGAACAAAAGCAACCTCGAGCTGTGTATTTACTATGCTCTGTGTTGGTGGGGACGCTGTAAAAAAAAAAAAAAAGGGTGATCTGAGTGTATAGGATACATTAACAAAAAAAAGACAACAGTTTCTTCTTTCTGGTGGAGTTTCATTCTGTTCTCTAACTTGTATATAAACTGTAACGTGAGAAGCTGCCAGTACAGTACATTTGTCAGTTATTGTGTTTCACCTGTGAGTTTCCATCAGCGTCAGTCGAAGTGATGCTAAGATTGGATGTTGTTTTTAAATTTGTTTATTTTTACTTGAATATTAATTTTTATTCATCATTCACAGTGCCATTTTAACTTGCTCTAAGGCAAAATGGCCATGTATAAACATTTATTTTTCTATGTTCAGTCACAATTTCATCATTTTGGTCCTTGTCACTGTGTTTGGTGATGCTGTCCAGCTACTGTAGCAGAGCTTTGAGATGTTTCTTTGCTTCGAAATGTGGAAGCAGAGGAAGGACTAACCTGTATGTTTCCATGTTGTTTTCCATTGTGTTGGAATAGCTGCACTGATAAGTTATCAACAACTGTGATGACTTCATGATTATCATCATTGCTTTGATTTTAACACAAGACCAGAAATATCAACTAACCTTTACACTTGTCGTCTCTTCTTTCAGTGGTTGCTGGTGTGGTGCTTTACATTGGTGCTCAATAACCATAATCACCAACCCAAATAACCTCAAAACAAGACTGCTCTATATACTGTAGAAATGTAACAAGGGATTTTAGACTAATTACTTTGTTCTAGAGGTTGAACATCATCATATTTGATTGTAGTCGTCTTTAGTTACCTGTGCATTTTAGTGAATGTAAGCATCCCAGCAGTAATGTACTAAAGCTTGATTCAGCTACTTACAGTATGTTTTTGTCCATCTACCCACAAATACTGATAAAACACAGACAAGTCTGTGCTACATATGAATGACACCTGCTAACTCCAGTGAAGGAATGAATCTTAAGAGTGCTGAAATGAAGACTTATGTTCTAATTTCTACTACTTTTGCAAAATAAGATGCCTGCTCTTACAAAATGATTGTTGGTGCAAGTAAAAACCCACTGTCAAATATCATTGAAGCTCATGTTTATCTCAGAATCTATGTTTGTAACAAGCCACATAAACAAACATATACATATGTACTTTCGGAATGAACATGCACTCTTATTTTGGAATGGTTACAGACTTTCTGATGTTGTGAGAGGAATATGATCCAGAGGTAACATTTTCAGACTAGAAAAGACAATGACTCGGTCAAATGAACAGTGTTCATTGAGCCTCTGTGCATGAAAATATCTTAACGTCATTACAGTGAATGATTTGCCACTACATCCCATTCTTGATTGTATTTTTTCCCATCTTGAGGTATTTTTTTGTGAAAAAACAACTTTTTCTACCTAATGTATTTCTAGCTTTGCATTCAGCTTGTTGTGGTGTCAGAGACTGCTGAGGAAGGTTCGCAAGCAGTTTGTATGTAAAGGATTAATTTATACTTTTTTCATAGAGAAATCATGAGACAACCACTGACGTGCAGAACTTTGTAATGTTTACCACTTAATGTCTAGCATTTCAGGGCATCACAGGTCAAGGCGCCTTTCTTTGATGTGTGTTTTCTTAATGATGAAACGTGTGGGGGGAGGGAATCAGTAATTTAAATGTTCATGGGAACAGAATCCAATATTTGTCTTCTCTCAGTTTGTACATAGAATGTGTTCATTGAAATTTATGTACAGTCTTTTTGTAATAAACAGCTCGTTGAAACAATGAACAAAACTGTGTGTTTTGTGTGTCGTAAAGCTGTTGGAACGGAGGTAAAAATTTGTAAGTTGCTGAAATGTAGTCCAAAACAAAATTCAAATAAATGTTATACGTCTGAGAATAAAGAAATGCTTTTGAAATATGTTATTTTGCATCAGAGGCATGTGGCACTACTACTAATACATGTGTGCATTACTAAAACATGTTATTGGGTCCAGGCTAGACATTTGTCCAGACGTGTGTGCATAAGGTAGGCTAAATTGGCTAAATCCGGGCTAGCAGAAGTTAACCCTGAAACACAGGAGGTGATGTCTCTCAAAAGTGTGTGTGTCCAGGAGGAGGAGGAGGGATGAAGTCAGGTGGTGGCTCATGTGGATACTCTTCAACACGAATGCTGGATCTGTCTGCAAAGAACCAAATGAGAATTAAATCCAGAGATGTGACTTTTAGGGTTTAAATATGCTGTATTTTATGCAGGCAAATATTATTATTATTATTAAGCTTATTTTATTCAAAAGCAACAGTATTCTGACCAGGGCGTGTATGCATGAAAGAGCTCAAAGTAAAATGTTGGTCTTAATTACATCTAAACTCAGTAATGTCGCTCTTATACTTAGCGTTAATAATAATAATAAATGCCATGCATACAAATGTTGCACATTCAGGTCAGGTTCTATTTTAGTAAAAACTAAACTTGTATTGTATTTGAACAACATACAGTCTCCACATGTAGTTCTAACATCAAATGGTAACTATTTTCATTTAAGATTTTTTAATAATTTCCCAAATAGCATAAAGTATACTGACCACCTTCTAAGGCCTGCGACTGGTTGATTCAGTGCTTGAGGGAGGGCATTTATGAATCTATGCTGTAAGAATCACACATACTTTGATAAAAGTTCCTTTTAGTATCTTTATGCAAAGTCCTACTTTTGCAAATAAAAATTCCCAATAGGTCAAAGTTTTGCAACATTTCTTGTAAGTTTTTTATATAGTTCTAACATGTATTCTTACCCTTGTGTTCAGCAGAGTGGAGAGTTTGCAAACTGGATGCTCTCTTCATTGCAGCCTGGTAATTTGCATACAGGACAGTCCCATACTGAACACACAGACACACCTGTTCAACTCCAGTGATGAAATGTCTGCATACTATATTTTTTTTGCCTTTATTTTTTAAAATGAGGCCAACTTGCAATTAGGATGCAAATGTCACTGCTCATATTAAGTTGCTTTATAGTGTTGAATCTGACCTTGGCTGCTCTGATGGAGTTGACCCAAAGCAAAAGTGTGTGTTCATTGTCACAGCACAGGAATTTGATGTAGTGCGACTCTTTCTGGATGCAGGGATGCTGGGGAAAGAGCACAGGCATAGAGAACAGTGACGTTCAAGAGGCACTCCAATGATTTAGTATTTCACTTTCATAAATTTGGGCGACTTAAGAGAGACACAAGTCATCACATGAGTCAGTGTTCTGATTTCAAACAAGTCATAGTATGAATTAAGGAAAATAAGAGGTGTTGGTGCTGTGCCCGACCACATGTTGCAGCTAAGTGCACACTGAACAGAGACTGTAATACCTGTAAGAGGAGACATCTACAGATTCTCTGAAATCAATAAGAATCTGATACAAATTCCTACCATTTGTATTCCACAGCCCACACCCTGTACCTTGATCGCCCAAGTCACACAGGTCATGGTCATCCGGTGGAATGGCAAAAACACTCTGAAGAACGTTGCAATTCTGGATGAGCAAACTATAATTTTGCAATCAGCTCCTAGTCTTCAGCTTGATGGAGAACCAGATGATTTAGCTCTCAGAACAGTAAGAAAAGGAGTGGAGATCCTTCAGGGGGCTACTGTTTCCTTTAAGTTGAGCTCTGCTTCCAATTTCACATCAACTATGCTTTTACTGCAGTTCGACTCGCTCTGTCTGAGCACACACAACCTGTCTTTACCCTCAAAAGGAATATGGACTGCTACTGACGCCAATGCATCAGGTTACCCCACTGCTCTTACTTGTCTCAGATTATAAGTACTTGATCTCACCTATTGCCCCAGTTCAATTTGGCCCATAAGGAGCACCAGTAGCAGTCAAAACTTGCCTTGGCTGGAACCTGGAAGGTTCCAAAGGAGAGACTGAAATTCTTCCTTCTTCCATACCTCCATTGTCTCTTGATCTAATGAGTTGTACCAATATGCAGAAAGGCTCTGGTGAGCCAATGAATTGAAACAAAGGACAGCCACCCAGTCCAAGCTGGATAACCAGGCAGTGAACTAACTTGAGGCAGCCACAAAGAGAGTCTTGATGGAATGAGTATATTGCTATGCTACACACTTAAGGATCTGAGCTGGGTGGTTATGGCACAGTGGATAAGACGCATGCCTTAGGTGTGAGAGACCCAGCATAAATAGCAATTGTAAGTCACTTTGGATAAAAGTGTCAGCTAAATGAATAAACGTAATGTAATTGTAATCCCAGAGGCACCTCCCCTAACTGCTGAATCACACGCCACAATGGAAAGACTGTGTGCCACTGAATCCAAGTTGGCCATGGATCCAAAGAAAGCAGCAGCCTATGACAGACTGAAGTTTGAACTGGCAGGTCATGTGAAAAGACTTACCAGAGACATCTCTCTAGTGCCTCTACTGTGCCACCTTTGCCCTTAGAAGGCACATTGAAAGTCATACTCAGCCGAATCATCTAGTGCACCATTCGATGGAAAGCTGATGTGGTCTAACAGACGATGATAAGCTGAGGTCAATTCTGTCTTCTGGAAGTTGCAAGATCCAAAAACAGTGAGTTCTGGCGATCTAAAGATACTATGCCCCCAATAAATATCCAAAGAAGGTTAAAGTCAAGGGCAACTGGACTTGGTTGAAGATACTAGAAGACATTTTGTCCCTAATCCAAAGGACTTCTTCAGTTCTGAAGAACTGATAAGAAAGATAACTATGACCTGGATGACTTCAATCTTCACATACGCCCCCAATAAAGTGTCCTCTTGGGATTCAGTGGAACTGCCAAACAGACCTTCTCAGCCACCAGAATCATCCACTACTACACTGCAGTCAATTTACCATTTCCTTGCCAGTCTTTATGACCCTAACTCTTCCTATCAGATATACCATCCTTTGGTCAGATTCAACCACCGCACTTCCTTGGTTGCAGGCAGGTGTCCAAGATCCAGATGCTGATCCTGTGACCCCAAATCTCCTTCTTCTGATTGGTTGGCGAGACTCCTCCAATGCCCCTGGTTTCTTATCCAAGCTCTGAACTCCTCAGTCGCCGGCAATGGTGTGTTGGCCAAACACTTCTGGTTTCATTTATCAAGCATCATCTCCTCCACCTTCAATGCAGGCAGAAGTGGCAAGCCCACAAGGAGGATATGTAAGTTAATACAGTTGTTATGATCACGGGCCCGCAACTCCCAAGGGCTCTTTGGCTTGCTGATCGTATTTCAAAAGGTATTACCAAGTAAGGATGGTCAGCTCAGGATGGTTGAAGTGATGGTAGGGAACAAGTCCTATATCTGCCTAGATTAAGTTTCCTGCAATCGCTGATGACCTCCCAAATCACTCTTCTTAGTATGACTCTTGGGAGTGCAAATCCCTATAGGATTTGGGGGCAGCTTTAGAATAGAGTCCTACTATTCATCAACCCTCTGACCATCATGCCTATTTCCTTCGTTCTGGCTAGCAGCAACACAAACCACACGTGTATCACACAGGCTGCATGAAGTGGCAGGAGCCAGAGGTGTGGACCCAAAATGCAGACAATTACGAGGATGATACAGTTCAAAGAGGATTTATTCAATGAGAACTCAAAAATCTGCTTACTCAGAGCACAGCAGGTAAAAGTCCAAACCAAGGAAGAATCCAAAAGTAACATAAATCCAGAACAGGGCAGAGTGATCCAAAACACGGGGAAACAATCCAGGAGACCACGGGAAACAGAGCACAGGGCAGAACACTCAACATTTGATGACAATGCAACAAAGAGTGAACAAAGCTGAGGGCAATATATACTGGGACACACCACACACACACAAGCAGGCAGGTCTCACAGGAGATACACATAAGCAATCAAGGCAAATAGGCAACAAAGCTAGACAAAAACACCCAACACCAATGATTACAAAATAAAACAGGAAGTAAGGCTACAGACAATACACAAGGATATAAGTAACTAAATGCAACAGAGAACAAGGGAGCAATGATCAACTAACAAAACCTAAACAAGAACACAGAGGCAATGGGTAAAACAGAAATGGACATTTAACACAAACACACCACACTCGAATCCAAGGTCGTGACAATGTGAGGTTCCTCTGTCTCTGTGATTCAGATACACATCTGTGGTTGTGTGTGATGAAGTGAGTTTACTGCTTTCTTCATATTTTGCTGTACCTTATTATTTAAGGTTGTAATCGAATGCTTCACCAGTATGGGTAGATGCTATAAGCATCACCATGGTTGTTTGCTTTGAGACTTAGACTGTGTGTAAGTGTGCAGCACACATGGTTTGTTAATTGTATGTCTTAAGGAAACGCAGGAATCCTTATAACCTACTTATAATTTGTTGTTGATTTTGTATATTATGTGATTTTTAAATGAATGTTTCTTCGTAATGTAGCACTATGTATTGAACTATTATGTAGGTAAGTGTGATTTTATACATGGTATATTTGTAGTACACACAAGAGCCAGCAGAGGGCAGCCCATACCAAGCTATTACTGCTCTTTGGACCATGAAGCAGGAACAACACTGCTGTAATTGATGAAAGAAACACTATAGTTAGTCTCCACGTTGAGAAGCACATACTGACAGAAATTAAATACAATTTTTTTTAGGGCTTTTTCACCTACAGAACAATATGGGCATAACCAGTCATGGTTTGCTATTTTTTCTTTATTCATCTCACTCCCCCTCATCTACTGACTGAACTTAATCTTTATCTATTGCAGTATAGGAGGGCATCATTTTCATCAATAAATGTGAAAATGCTTCTTTAAATATCTGAATATGACATTAAAACAGTAAAAACCAAACACATTTTGCAGTCTTGCTTCCCTGAAATATGAGCTGCATGTTATTTTTTCATCAGCCTGCATTAGTTTTTCTTGTAATATTATAAATGTGAGTGTGGTCTGTAATGCCTTTACCTCATTTTGGTAATATTACCTTTAGCATGAAGCAGAAGTCGGTGGGAGCTCTGTATTTCTGTTTGTAGCTTTTGGTGGTGTAGATATTGACTTTTTCAAAACGGACAAAGCAGGCGAGATCACTGGAAGACTGTTGGACAGAGAAAAAAGTTACTAATCACACTAGCAGGTAGAAATCTTATTATGTGGATTTTGGACTAACTTAGGAGTTTCATAGTCTTCTGCAGTTATCCTGCAAATCTATTGTGCACAGCAAAGGTCCTCTGAGATGCTTTGGTGGGAATAGTGGAAAAATTCACATATTGGCAACAGGAAGAAATGTATGTGTATTATACACAAACATGTTTCCCTTTAATGCCAATATGTGAATTGTATGAATAATATGACTTAACAGAGATGCAAAAAAGCCTTTATCAAGACAACAGACTAGACTTGAGTAAGTGAAAAAAAAACAATGAAGGGGACAAAATAAAGGAATTAACATATAAAATAGAAAAAATAAACAATTATACAAAATATAATTAAAAAAAAAAAAAATAAAATAAAAAAAATAAATAATGAATGACATAAAACTCAGCCGTGCAGAGGAAGTAGTATAGCTTACCCTTTTGATTGCCTCACCCACTCAAAGCTCAGCATTCATTTCATTCCCCAAAGCAACTTTAGATTGGGCTAGGCCTTCCCCCAATTTACTTTCCTGTAGTACACTTCTATTCCTAGGTTGTTTCCCCATCCAAATAAATGATGTGACCAATTTCATAGTGGGATGGATTGAAATAAATAGTGGAATTTTTACCAGTTGGAGCCAAAGGGAGGTTTTTCCATCTCTGAGACTCAAATTTTATTTAAGAAAGTTGGGGATTTAAGTTTGCAGAAGAAAGAGCTGCCTGAGAGTGAATAATATTAAGGCCAAGATATTTGAACTTGACTGGAAGACTTCATTTGTCCTTTTTTTCTGATTTTTGACATTTCTCTTTCCCCAGCCTAATGAACTATCCTTTCCAGATCTCCCACTGCTTCATCCTTGTGTCCTTGGCCTCAGATGATTCCTGCAGCGTTCTTATGTTTGTGATTTGCACATCTGCCTCGCACAGTTTCCCTTCCATCTATTTTTCCCTCCATCTCTTCTCCCTTGCTGTGTTTTTCTGCTCTGTGTCTGTGACAGAACGACATGTTTCTCTTTAACAGCGGCGAGGCCTCAGTTCACACTGTCCATCTTCATTTCTCCTGCTTTTCCTCTTGCTAGGCTGTTAGGCATGCTCTGATGTAAGCCATCATATTCTTCACACAGGGAAATAAATCTCTTGTCTCTTAGTGTAAGGACTGCTTCTCTTATCCAGTTTTTTCATTTAATTTTCCCTTCAACTAGACAGTTGTTAATAGTCAGCTTGAAAAACCTGACAATGTTTGTCAACATTGCAACAATTGGGAAATACAGTTTTCGGTGAGTTATATGAAAGGATTGATAACACTCGCATGTGTATGTTTTACTTTTGGACAGAGCCAGACTTGCTGTTTCCCCTTTTCCAGTCTGTATGTAAATGTAAGCTAACCGACTGCTGGCTGTAGCAAAACCTGCAGATGTGAGAGTGGTCAGTTAATCTGCAAGAAAACAAATTAGCATATTTCCCAAAACGTCAAATTATTGTTTTGGGCAGTGCCAAAAGGAATATTTTGGGTGGTACTTATGAACTGTATTTACAAACTTCATGTAAAGGTTGTGTCATTTTATGTGCCTCTCTGATCATGTTGACAACAATGTTATCTAAAAATGACCACAAATAAGATTAATTAAAAATTAAACATTATCCATCCTTTTGCATGCTTACCTAAAATACCTACTAGCCAATGATTTACTGAGATAAACTTCAGGTTGTAAGTCTAAAGACCTTACAGCTACTGCTAGCCAAAAACAGGAAGACATTGAGTAATATGCAAAAAAGTGTGTTATCTTTTTTCCTTTGTGCATGGTGCACACCACCTCATGAAACGTAACTATAACTGTGTATTTACCAGTTTCACTGTCATGACAACAGCCGACCAGAATAGCCACCTAGGCTATGTGTAGGAGGTGTTTTCACCCAGGTTGCTAAATGCAGTCTCTCACCTATTGTTGTGTCTACAGCAACAATACATTGGTGTCAACAGTACACCATCAACATGCCTGAATTCAAAATGAAATATATTGTACAATGTTGTCATCTTTCAATAACAAATTTGATCTGCCATACCTTTGTCTTTCCTTTTGGTACATAGTAGATGCCAGAGGCCCTGAGCACGAAGTAGCGAGGTTTCCAAATCTTTTTCCCATCTTCCTTTAAGTATAGCGTGCCCTCAAGATCAGGAACAATAGCAATAGAACCCCCAAAATGCTCCTGCAGGGTCAGAGGGCATGCATGAGTGAAATTAACACAAGATAGAGAAAAAAGAACATATCTTAATTTTGTAAAGCACTTTTAGTCAACTCAATTTATTTAAAGAGCATATACATTCCTACATAGAGAGAATTGAAATAGTTGAGGCAAAAAGAAATAAAAGCATGGTCTATGGTTTTGAAATCCTTAGTCCCTGAATGCCAACAAAATGCTCAAGGCGGTCCAAAAGGATGGAGTGATCGACTGTGTTGAAGGCAGCAGAGAGATCTAAAATAATTGAAATTGTGTGATTTGTGTGAATCGTTTGTCACCCTCGGGAGAGTGGACATGGTGCATCCTAAAACCTGACCTGAAATTTGTTCAAGAAGGAGATGAACTATGATAGTGGAAGCATTAAACAAGGGCTGAGCTTTGATTTTAGGTTTAGGCAGTTGAATGAAGAATATTTGTGGATGCAAGTGGTATAGAATAATGTGCCCAGCCCAGCAGGGGGAGATTGAATGGGGGCAGAGGTGACAGAATTGGATACAACGTTTATGTAGTGGATAGTATTTTGTTAAATTATTCCTAACTGGGTAGATTTGAAATAGAAGAAATTTGTTTTCATATATGTGGAGCTAAGATTTCCATATGATTTGTTACAAGCATACAATAGGTGCTCTGCTGTTTCTACATTTATGTGGGTCTGCAGTAGTGAAAGTACAATGGTTTGCCCTTTCCACTTTATTGTGGGATGGCATTATTACAATATTTATCTGGACCCTGGGGGTTGGAAAGCCAAAAGTAAAAATAACGTTATGACCATATGCATGTGAAAGATGTTACAAAGCTTTTACAAAATTTTAACCATTTTCACTCTCTGTAATGACACACAGCAACTTCACATGTAGTTCCAGGAATAAGGTGTGAGTGTGACTATAACTGACCTTGAGTAGGAGTTGTTTGGCTTGCTCATTAATCCCACTCAAACATGCTGTCTTCTTTTTCCACATGTAAAACATCTTCAGGGCGAGAAAAGAATTATTCATTTACTGACTAAGCGTTAAACTGCGTGATCAAACTTTGGCGAGAAGAAAATCCATGCACATTTGCATGCTCACCTGAGGGTCTGTGAACATCACATACTTCTGAGGTCTTAGCACAAAATTGATTTTGTTTTCACTGTGGCGAGTCCACATAGACAGCGGCTCCACTAAATATTCATGGTCCTCAAAGCCTCTCTCTGAAATGATAAGAAACCAGCCTTTGAAAGTGTGTATCAATCTTCAGTCCTGAAACATGTGTGCAACAGTGTCTCCTGCCTCTGTGGAGGAGTTTACTAGCACGTGCTATATGAGCTTGCCTGCATATGATTTGAGTTTGTGTACAGCATGTGTTCATCTCACCAATCTGCAGCTCAGGGTTGGTCTCACACAGGCTCCAGTCGATGCTACAGTCACAGTGTGTCTTCTCAAACAGCGTGTCCAAAACCTCTCGCACAGTCTGTCTCTCGTCCACCATCAGTGTCTTGGCGCTGCCGTCACTCATCATTACTTTTACTATCAACTAGGAGAGGCAGCAAGCTCAGTTACTTCATCTGTGTAGCTGCGTGATGAAGAAAGATGCACAAAAACATGTTGACTTTACCTTCCTCACTTTGGCTTCTTTCAGCCTCTCCAGAGCCAATTTAATTTTGTCTGCCTTTGAATGGGGCTTGCTCTGGAAGCAAAATATGAAGAGATCATCAGCATTTTAATGAAATTACAACTTTTTTTATGATCAGTGACAGATTCTAGGTTACCATCTGCAACTCTCCAGATGATTCAGCAGTGTTTGGTGGTGGAGGAAGGGCAGCTGCTGGCTCAGATTTCTGAGTCATGGCTGATGCTGAAAGTTGATTATCTGTATCGCTGCTGTTTTTAAAGGTCGATATTGATCCAAGGTCAGCCATCAGAGCATCCAGGTCGTGGTCCTCCAGTTCATTAAGAGACTCTGTGAGGAGATAAGGGTGCAGTTTTGACATTAAAGTAAGAGAAGCAACATTGTAAATGTCACTGGTTGAATCCCTGGACTGGCAGGACAAATCTTCTTGGTCAAAATTAAACAGCTCCTTCATTAGCACTGCTGAGGTACCACCAGCCTGTGCCTATTTTTAATATGTGTCACATGCAGATCTCAGGAAAAACAGACTGACATGATCTGTTGATAATCATATCAATATCATACCAGCAATATTACACCTTTTACTGCAGTTTCAATGTCTGTATCTGTAGAATATGTCAGAGACATGAAAGAAATAGGCTATTTAAAAAGAAAATTTTTAAATGTGGCCAACACCTCCATTTCAGATTAAAAGCCAACTGTGGGCAGAATCCTTTCATGTGTTGTCAAGGCTTTTATAGGTAGAAGTAGAAAGTAGAAAGACAGGTCAGGCAGTAGCAGCTCCACAACAGCAACACTGTCTGTGTGGGCGCTACACACGTGCAAGTCGCAGTTTAGCAAGGTAGATTAGCTCTTTCTCCCGTTAAGTCTTTTTGCTAAACTAAGCTAGATGTCTACTGGCATCTCATCTTGGCAAGAAAGCAAACAAGTATATTTTCAAAGATGTCAAGCTATTATTTTAACACAACTGTCTCACTTATATCAACGCTAAATACTCTTTAGCTCACTCACTTTTGTTGAAGCGCGAGACTAGCTTTGATTGTCCTGTTTCATCAATTTTTTCCCTCATAATTTCATTGAGTTTATTTTAGTCCCAACAGCTTGTAAAAGAATTTGGTGTTTTTACAGTTGTGCCACAACCATCCACTTCCTTCATTTCCCAAACTGATTATCTCCACCTGGTTTCTCAAGGTTGGCATGACCTTCTGGTGCAAGAAAAAATAGTCACTCCCCATCTCCCAACAGAAATCTTATCATTGGAAATAGTGCTTCATATTTCCCCCACTTGCATCCTCCTACTTCACACTTACTGTCAGGGCAGTGACTCTTGGTTGCTGGAACATCTGGAAATTGAAGCTTTGCATGAGAGTATCTTCAACTGAATGAGTGCTTACCATTTAAGTCTGTGAAGCCAAAGGAGAAGGTGCTCTCTGTCTGTGAGGTAGGATTTATGTCTGGTGACTCGGCTGCAGGCCCTAAACTCTGCAGCGAAGTAATGTGATGTTAAATTAACATGTTACACCAGTGTCTTATAAATTTTAAACAGAAGTCAGAACTGTAGCTTCTGTCAAATACAGAAGTGTATTTGACAGAAGCTTAAGTTTCACATAACGCTTGTAAAAGCCCAAAAATCAAAGTGCGCCGTGTGTCTGTGAACTGCTCTGAACTGATGTTTAATTATGTAACGTGAGACTGTTATTTATTAGTGACTTTGTTTCCCGTCACTTTATTACGCTCTGTTTTAAAGCTGTACCAATAATAGAGAACACATTGCATGTGCATCGCTTACTGTATGCATAGACAATAAATCATATATCAGTTCATTAAGAAAAACTGATTTGTGAAAACTGTGATGTTGTAGTCGCTCTGTTTTTTTTGGAACAAGATCATTAACATAACTGTCCACAGGCCCAATCATATTTTATAAACAAGTTGGGCAAACTGCCAACCCGTACACAAAATTATGCTTGCCAGCATGCATTTCAAACCTGATGACTGTGACTGAAAACACACGTCGTCATGCTAGAGCGGCAGACAATGCACCCAATCAAGGAAATAAGTTGAAATACTTTAAGTCCTTTTGTTTCTCAGACTCTGAGACAATCCATGCTTTAATCAAAATACCTTTCTTGCAAACTCTGGTAATAAGTGGTGTTTGTCACTGTGATGGCTTTCCAAGAGGACACATGCCAAAGTGACATCTAGAGCCCTTTTCTGGTATGTCTGATGTAATGTTTAAGATTGATCCCATTCTCAGGGCTGTGCTCATTTAGCATACATGGAGAGATTTGAAAAGGACAGTAATGAATTGCGCCTCAGGCTGAGGTTGCATCAGTTAGAAGTGTGTAATGTTTTTCTTGGCGAGCTGCAGATATATGATGAGCAGCTTATGTGTGCTTAAGGGAATCTGCGGCAATTGCCTACGGTCCAATCCAGATGCGATGATTTCACATCTCAGCGTCGCCTTGCATTTTTCTGAGGCTCAGTATAAAAACAAATACTGCCTTTTATAATCAGATAATGTCCAGACTAGTGATGTAAACATCAAATGATTTGTCTGATTCACTGCTTGTAACCTATTCCTACTTCCAAAACACTGATTCTGCCAGAGTCTCAGCTCATCTGGTCATGTTTTGAGAAAGAATGCGACCAAAGATGTTTGATATCACACTGTTGTTTTTCTCAGTTCCAGATGAAATTTACTAATGCAAAATGGGACACGTCGTCCATTGTATTTTTAGCCATATCTCAAAAGCTGTTGTTGGTGCAGACATTCACAGTTCTCAGAAGATGAATCTTAATGATTGGTGATTCCTTGACTTTCCCTCTAGCACCACAAGAAGGTCACCAGTTTTGTTTTTCAGTGAAACTATTTAATGTTGTACAGATTCATGTCCCTGTTAAGATAAATTGCAATAATTGTGGCGATCCCTTTACTTTTTATAGCGCTGTCATCAGATTGAAATTGTAATATATCCAATACTTTGTTTTAACCAAATACCTGCAAAACTAATGGCATTCTCATCAGCAGCTAATTTACTATGTGTAGTGCTAATTAGCAAATGTTAACATGCTAACAGGCTAAACTATGATGGTGAATCTGGTTTAGACTTGCTAAACATCAGCATCTTAGCACTGTCGTAAGCATGTCAGCATGTTGACCTTTAGCTCATTGTACAACTAACCTGAGAGAGGTGATCCATCTCTCCGAGCAGGTGACTGAACATGGCATCTATGTCGTCCATCTGAGAATGGTAGAATAAATAATTTTAGATTTTAGCAGCAGTACAGGGATTTAACACAATGTAGAAAGTAAATTATAGGATACTACAGCAGTAGCACCAGGAACCGAAAAACTTTCAATAATTTCAGTTCAGTTTAAATTCAGTTTCTAATGGCAGCAGTTCTGAAATAGTTTGTCATAAACTAAGCGTAAAAAGTTGGGAAATAATCTCTATTTTAAGGCCTGCATAACAGTTGAAATTTCTGTGGTGTGGAGATACAAACACTCTTGGACACATGCATGCACATGTACAGTACACAGTTTGGATATGTCTGTCATAGCTGTAAAAACAAGAACATGCATGTTTTTAATCTCTCCACAGAGAGAAACTGAAATGTAATCTCTATTTCGAAATGTGCTCACAGTCACTGCCATGATTCCACAAAATGACAAAGCAGCGTGTGTGGCAGTTTAAAACAGTTTAAAGTCACACAAGTTGTTTTCATCACTGTCCAAGCCAATAAACCTAATCTTCAATAAACTGTGGCGGTTGAGCTAAATCCACCTAACTTTGTTAAATATGTCATGAAGAAATCAAACATGCCTCACTGAACATGATTTTATACCTCCTCTGGGCCCACATTCCACTTGCAGAACATAAAATTCATAAATATGCTCACATAAACTGCAACTTCAAAACTGATTTACTTGTTCCCTTGTCTCATTTTGCTGAAAGGCACCATGTGAGGTCAAGACAAGCAGCCATTTCCCTTCAGAATATTTTAATATGAAGATTCTTTACTTTAGATTTGTTAACTAAAAATCTAAGATAAATTCAGCACAGATCGAAATGTCTTCTGAAGGTTTATGATCTTAACTGCATGATCTGTCAATTACGGGTGATAGCTCAAGTTGAATACATTACGTTCTTTGCATTAAATAACTGATCATTTCTGAAAAAAAGGGCTTCATTGAGATCAAAGATTTTTGTCAGGCAAAACTGTGTGGAACTCGTCTCGGTTTGTCCAAATGGAGGTGGAACCTTGCCAGGTTTAGGGTCAAAAATACATCTTGCATGTGGAGCCGCTTAAAAAGCAAACTGAAGAATGAGCTCCCTGTTTTGTCTTTGAGACCTTTGCTATGTGCAGTTAGCATTACTGTAACAATAGATATTTGAATTTCGTAAATTCATAGAAACTAGAAACAATGCAGGCGGTATTGGTGGTAGGTTTTTTCATCGTCACCTGCTTCTCGTCTGCATGTTAACTTCTCACTTCACATAATGGAAGTTTTCTGATGAACAGCATGGACAAGGTGGACATGGTGCAACCCTGCAAAATACCTGGAAGTACACATGAACTACTGTCTAAACTAAAACTAATATACACAACAGCCTGCAATGCCTATAAACTTTTCATTTATTTAGGAATGTATTTGTTGGGGACAGTGCTGAAAACACATTTTAACACGTTACAATAACATGAAACAAATGTGTTGCATGTAGGATTTCTAGCGAAGGCTAATTGGTGACCCCTGTCCCTGATTAGCTTTCCATCATTCAACATTTAAAGTGATAATACAGTATTTGTTTGCATTGTATTCTGAGCTTTAAACATTGTTTCTGTACATTGTCTGCTTATGTAGTACATTTTCTGTTTGTGTGGCACTAGAAATAACTTGACCATAAGCACATAAATATGAACATGACACATGTCTGAACTTCATCCATACTGTGTCTGTTTCTTCATGTGACAACTTCTCCACTTTAATCACCTTTAATCACATTATGAAATCACATTTTTATTAAACATGCTTTATTTTCATTCGTCTCTGTGTCTCATTAAGTATTTGTGTTATGTTGCAATGCTTAATTCTGTCAGCCAATACTCATTTCCTGTTTTCTTGTTAAACCTGCAATAACTAAATTCTTGGCCATTTAAGGACAGCAGAAATAAACTCTAAACACAACAATGACATTTTATCACCTTTTCACTTTCACATCCAGCAGACATGAGACAACATGGCAAATGTAAATCCAACAGTTACTCTCTTTTTAGTTCAGTTTCAGATAAATATCTTTATTCTTTAGTTGTTAAATGCTATGCTTACATTCACCAGCTAGTTGCTAGTGTCTATCTGTCATAGGAGTGGGACAGATAGTGTGCGGTTCATCACTAATAGTGAGACCTTTCACATACATAGTGTGAAACAGCTTAAACCTGCTGTGAAACCCAACAGTTGATATGGCAAATGAATTTACACATTCAACAGATATGGAGAAACATTCTCATTCACTTGGAGGCGTGTTTCTGGTTACCTGATGAATGTAAATCAAATATTTACTCGCCTTTAAGCTCTGTTTTATCCGCCTCTTTAGCTGCTAATAGCTCACCAGTCGCACTGTGTCTGTCTGCCTTTTGGTGCTGAGCAGCAGTGTACAGTTCGTTTATCAGAGGTTTTTCAGTGAATACAGCTGCCTGCTGTGGCTAAAAACTGAACTATGAGAGCAATGAGTGTGAACCAACACAGTGAGCTAAAATATGCTAGAACACTCTGTAAGGCTGCGAGCAACCCCTTTTAAGTACAAGTAGTTATGTGATCCATTGTTAATAAAAAATATCAGCTGCATCAAGCTGCTTTAATATCATATTTTTTGCCAATAGATATATTTTCTTTATGTACTTTTTTAAAACCAGACTTGGATCACATTGTGATATAGCTGGACATATCAGCCGAGAAAGAGTGAAGAAATTCTCTACAGTGAACATCAGGGTGCGACAAGCACAGCAAACATCTGTTTGGCTTTGTTTAACTTTGAGCTGATATATTTTAGACATTAAAGCTGCAGCTTGTGGTACGCAAACTGCTTTGCTGCTCTCTATACCATGCTGTTTTTCTTCATGTACACTCACATATGTATGCACACATGCAGCTTAATGTGCATATACGCAAACAGAAAGACGTAAGTATACAGTCCTGCCTGTGCTGTTCACTCTCATTCTGTGTTTATGCTGAACAGTAAACAGACCATCCATTAAACTGTAATGAGGTAAAACGGGAAGAGGGGAGATGGTAGTGGACTAAGTATTGTTTCCATATGAAAGTGAAATGTTTGGATCAAGAAGGTGAACATCACCTTTGTGACTTCTGCCTCACACATGTGAAAGTCAGTCCTTACTTCTGTTTCCGTAATTTCTGTCTAATGTGAAAAACACATGCATATCAATATTAATAACTGGTGCTTCATTGATACTGCATTTGCAGTCCCAGGCATGTGCTCATCAAAATCGTGCATTACAAAGCCACATTTGTTTATGAATTCCATGCTCTCATCAGGCATGTCAGATTGTTGCTGCCGTCTCCCACTGTGGTCTCACACATCAACAGAACGAGGAACCGCCAGGAGACAGACAGGCAGACTAACAGGGCCAAAGCCTGTGTACAAAAAGCTCTTTATTGAGACTTATTTGCATGAAGGGAATCAGAAAGCATTGCCTGCTGACAGTAAACCAATATGTTTTCTCTCTTCTTGTGGTTGAGCGCTTCTTAGTGTTTTCCAATTAGTAACACAACCATCCATTGGCTGCCGTGAGAGGACATGTGTTTGTCCTAAACAAAGCTGATGTGGCTGCTCAAGAATTTAACTCTTAAACTCTTAAAGGGACTAACAGAAGGGATATATATATATATATATATATATATATATATAGATAGATATATATATATTTTTTTTACATAATAGTACTAAATGTGACATTATCATATTTGTATTTTATTCATCTACTGTACAGTTGCCATACACACCTCATAAACTTCTTCACAATCATTTAAAATGTGTTCTTACCTTTTCTCTCTCTTTCACACATGGGAGCATTCAAGTGAGTGTGAAGGCTAAAAACCAAGTCTATTAGTAACCACTTGTACATGTGACTTTGTCTGCACTGCCTCTGCACAAATAAGCTAAACTTCCTGTGAAATCAGGAAGTAGATTTAACTGTTTCTCTGGTAATGCAGAGTGAGGTTTAATTTTCTAATTCTGTTGCTCTTCTGTGGTGATCCCACAGCCACAGCTACTTACCATAATATACCTTTCTCTTCTCTTAATTTCTCACTGCTCTACATGATCATGGTGGAGCCAGACAGATGTTCCCTTACAGATGCATCTAAAAAAATTTTAATATCATGGACAAGATTAGAGGCTCAGGAAACGTTTACAGGTGTTTAGACTTAATTAGCTGATTAGAGCTCTTTTCAGGTTGACATTTCTGTATTATTAATTCTTTATATTAACATTTTGAGATACTGGATTTTTGATTTCCGTGAGCTGTACGCCGTAATAATCAAGATTAATACAAACAAATGCAGCATTTAACTAAGTAACAACTTACAGGGATGGATGACAAAAACAAGTATATAGCTGTTTCAGCAATGGAGCAAGCAGCTTTTACCCTCCTACAAAATCATATTGGACAAAGTCAATTATTGGCAAGTAGAAAGATATATGTAATCAATAACAAGAAAGAGATGCAAGATGGAGAGAGGTGTTTATTCAACTCATCATTTTGGAGGATGCAGTTTGTGATGCTGTGATGCTATGCTATTATGTTACAATGACGGGTGCTTCTATTATTTTGTCCACCACATTCATATCAATGAGGTTAAGCTTAGTAACAGTAACACCTCTCTGTTCAAATAAAATAAAAATAATATTGTCACACATGAGAATGGGGTGAGGTGTCAGCAAGAGACCGGTGACATTAGCACCTCTATGAATAGTGCTGACAGTGAAAGAAATGTCTCTTGGTTCAAAAACAGCTCTGACTGTCTTGTTGTGGTTGTGAATGGTCTGTCAGCTTGTTTGGTCTCTTCTTAAGCACAGAGTTGGTGTCAGAAAGTACACTCTGAATCCTGATCCTGTGTGGTCTCACTTTAGCCCAAGTGAGTAAATTAGCACCTGCTGCACATGTGCATGTGTGTCCACATTGCAGTTTCAGCCATCTTTTGAGAAAGTCCCAAATCAATATATTTATTGTGTAGCCTAACTGTTCATTAGTGTTTTTGAATGATTTATAACAAACAACTTGTGAGTGGTGGAGGATTTACACATATTGCAGATTCTCAGTGTGTGTGTGTGTGTGTGTGTGTGTGTGTGTGTGAGCGCATGTGTTGGTGTGAGTTCCTTTTTGCCATGAAAATGGCAAGAGAGGAAACATTTAAGTGTTTCTAATGTGGGTTAAAGCTTTAATCAAAGCCATGTGGGGTCAGGGAAAGGAAATGGGAGTGGTAATGAACTGTAATAAAGTTTACATTTTACAGGAGAGGCTTTTGGCTACAACTTTACAGTATCACAGAGTAGTGTTTTAAAAGTCCTACAACTGCACTCTAATCCAACATTACAGAACAGATCAAAGCTTTGGCTTCAAATAAAGCAGAGATTTTAATTCTGACAGAGCTTGTTAAAAAACCCCAGGGCTGGTCCTGTCATCATAATGAATGGCAAAATAAAAGGGAAACTGAAAATTAAAAGTTATTTGCCCTTTGAATAAGATAGCTACATGTGAAAACATCTTTAAACAAAATTTCTTAAATTCCACTGGACCATTAGGAAGTGGGAGTTCTGTTAACTGTAAATACAAAACTGCTTAAGAATGACCCGCCAGAGTGAGAAAAAAAATAACATTGGAATTGTCCAAATATCTACCACATGCACAGCTTAAATGGGAATGGAGTGACTAGGCAGAGTGGTATGTCCGGGAACGCTATGGGTTAATTTAAGACTAGAAGCAAAGCCTGTTGCCAATTACCAGCAGTGAGCGCCACATGTGGGTTAGACGTAGCTATCTCCAGAAGGGGCAAAGGGGGCAGAATCCGCGGTGCGCGCAATGGAGACAAGCTCAATGTCTGTGCAATCAGTTATTAAAAACTTAGTGGCAGTTACATGTATGGGCAGTTACTAATTTGAGGGATTTCTTTCTTTTACAGAGATGATCAAACAAGATCTAGTGAGCTGAAGGATTGATGCGCAAAGGAGGCCACCATTCGCCCGTGGCCTGTTTTCTATTTTTGCCTTTCAACATTTCAATATGGCACGTATATCGACTATATTTTTACTCTTTGTAGCATCTATACTCAGGGGAGCACTGAGCGTATCTGAAAACTGCCGGGGCGCCCGCTGCTTCTCTGGCCAGGACTGGAGCAGAACATGCGCCGGAGCGCACTGCCAGGGACGCACAGAGTCAGTAGCGTTGCGACGGCAGTTTCACCACTCTGCACAATCCAGACAAGGACAACTTCACCCGAGTTACCAACATGATTCTCATTCCAGTCATCACCAAGCCCAGAGCGCGCCGTTAGCGCCGTATACCATCATCCAACCTCAGCCGGGAAGCTTTGCGCAACAGGCAGGTACGGATGGCTCCAGGAGGACGAACCCGAGAACCATCACGGCGGAGGTGTTCCATCCTGGCTGTGCAGGTGGGACCTGTCCGACCACTGTCTCTCATCGCCCACCGAGTGATGACAGTGCAACACGGGAGTGCAAAGGGATTGGATGTAAACTTCCCCTCCGGATGCGCCAGAAGCAAAAGCCTTGCGTCGGAGATGGTTGCGGTACGCACAGAGGAGACGACGGGAGAGGAAACTCTTCACCGGTTCATGTGACAGATAGAGCGGCGCAGTTTCTGGACGAACTTCCAGACTTTGGGTCGGAACGTGGCGCATGGATACAGTTGACATGTGACATGAAACCAGGTCAGTGTCAGTCTGTGAGTGATAAGCCACAAAATGGAAATGCAGCCTTCTCAGTGAGAAAATACTAATCACTTAAATTCTCATGTAATAGTTGTTATTTTTTTTGCCACAGGGACTAATGAGTTGCCCTCAGAGGATGCTCTTGTACTGCAGCTGCAGCTGTCTAAGAGTCAAGAGAAGCTGGTTGAGGCCCTCAGGGGCCAACAGGACGAGGTCAGGGAGCTTCAGAGGCTCCTCAGTGAGCAGCAGGGGACGCTGGTCAACCAGCAGAGAGAAATACTGGAGCAACAGAGGAGGATGTATGAACAGATGGAGCAAGTACGACTGCTGTGATTGATGATGAAGGATGTATTAATAGTTGGTGGTTTTGTTATGGGCTGTGATTAGAGTAACATTAAACATGTATGTGGTTGAGGTGGATGGAAAACACCTGACCTACAGAAGTCTTATTTAGTTAGATGATGCTGACCACTGACCTCCCGGTGGAGGATCTATTCCATATGGGCATCAGAGGAAAAGGATGTTCTCTCCCACAATCGACCTGAAATTAGGACATTTATGCAATGGGCTGACCACAGAATAATTATACATTTTGTAGTTTAATTTTTGTATGGATATCATAAAAATAAAAAGTTATCTTATTTTTCTATTTCCAGGTTAAAGCCCAGCATAAGTTACTGATGGACAGCATCAAACAAACAACTTTCCAGAACCTGCAGGGGGAGCTAGATAGTCACATGGAAACCTTGAGTGGGCAGGCTAGAGCCCAGCTAGCACAGCAGGCTCTCTCTTTGCACAAGGTGGACATGGAGGCCAGCGTGATGGAGGTGAGCTGCAAGTTGAATGAGGGTGTACAAGTGTGTTAGAAATGTAATGTATGAAAAACCAACCTGGCTGTCAATATGATGTTTCCTGCTTCCTGCAGATGTTTCCTTCTTCAGAGCCATAACTAATTTCTAAGTAAAGGCACTGTGATAAAAGTCAGGCATGTATGACACTGACTTTAGTTTCATGCAGCCATCATTTTGCAAGAATATGTATACATTATTGTTATTGTTGATGTTTTGGAGCAAACTCTATATATACACACACCCAGTGGTAGAAAGTAACTAAGTATATTTACTAATGTCCAGTTTTAAGATACTACTTTACTTCACTATTTCAATTTTCTGCTACTTTATCTGCTGCACTACAATTTAGAGGGAAAAAAAGTACTTTCACTGCACTACACTTATTTAGTTACTAGTTACTTTCAAATTAATATTATAAACAATAGTATTATTGTAAGTTAAGATACGACTTTACAATCTACACCACAGTATCTAAACCTTTACTTTTGAAAGTTTAAGTAAAGTTTATGCTATACTTTTGTACTTTTACTTGTGCAGGACTTTATTTATAAATTATTTCTACTGTGGTACTGCTACTTTTACTTAAGTAGAAGATCTGAGTACATCCTCCACCACTACACAGATCTACTGCAAAAGCATGCACCGCACTGTAGAAGAATCTTGAGTAATTAATCCACAGAGTTCTTACATTCATACCAGCATGGATCTCGCATAATGATTTCTGACCTAATGTTGACATTCTTTATCAAATTAACAAAATATCATCTAATTAAACATAAATGTTTTCCTACTTCACCTAGCATATGGATTGGACAAGTAAATAAGTTGTCAGCAACATATGACATCTGGCTAGCTACTCTGCACTGCCTTCTTTATGTGATGTACTTGCCTGACTGTGGTGGTTGATGCCATCAGGTGGGTCGCTCCCTGTTGGCCTGTGGGAGCTGTGGCCCTGAGGAGTATTGTGGCTTCAGCAGTGGTCGTCCTCGCTGTGAGAAATGTACCATCTGTCCTGCCGGCTTCTTCCTGGTCGCCCAGTGTTCAGTCCACGCAGACAGAATCTGCCAGGTTAGCACGGCTATCTTTTAACAGTTTGACAGTTGAACTTGTGGACATAAACAGCACAAATCTTTAAGCATGGGGGAAAAAACTAAGCTTTTGTTGATGGGTCCCTGAGATACCTAACACTGTTTCACAATATGAATACTATCTAAAGTGGAATTGACATCACAGACAGAAAATGACTAAAGAAAGTATAAGACAGGACAAGAAAGCTATCAGGTTTAAATTTTAACCCCCCATAGATGGCAATGTCTGTTTTGGTCTCC